AGTTGGGGTACAATATATATTGTCAGTGAAATTACTAAAGATTTAGTCTACCTTGTTTCCGTTAACCCTTTTTCGTATTCCATCTTTCCTTTTACTATGTTTACGATGTTTATTAAATTATCTTCCTCTTTACCATGTTAACTTAACTTGAAAAAATGGTTCAAGTTTACCAAATAATTCTTTTAGCATACACATAGATAATCTGAAAACATTACGAAATATGGGTTATGAACTCTGTTAACTAAACTTCATGCAATACACCGTACCCTTTATATTCTTGAACAAAAATTGCATGACTGTGTTTTCTACTCAAGGTGAATGAATCTATTTATAATTAGGCTTTTAACTGAAAACGATCTTTTAAAATGCAAAATTAGCCATACTACTCCCAGTTCATCCCCGCCAGAAAAGTAAGTGCAGTACTAAACTTGACGAGCTAGAAAAACTCTCTTTATGAGGACAGATGTATAATAATACAAATATTCTGACTGTACAAGGTTAACTTGAAAGACTTCATTTCTTCTGTTGATTATAGGTTGTTTTTGAGATGACTCAAAATTAGCCTGATTGGAGCGCGAGTGTCTATTTACATTCTAATTTGATTTTTCTTTCAGAAAATAATCACATATATAATACCTCTTTGCAGATAAACAACAATTTAAGCAAATTAATTAACTATGTTATACAGTGCAATATCGCTTTTTCACGACTTTTGTAACGTCATTATTTATTCTTTGATAAAAGATGACAAAATGGAGATGCATTAAATTTCAAAGAAATTTTCAGCGAGAGTGGGTAAATTGGTGGGGGGTTTGTGTTAATCTTCGTCTTTTCACAAAGGTATACTTAAAAAGAAATATTTTTTAATTGACATGGATACACCAAGATGGGCGAGACAGATTGATCATAAATAATGTTAATGTGTAATACTAGTACCTTTAACCATCCTTATCTTCACTTTTTGCAAATAAATGACTTTGAAGTGCAATGAATCCTTAATAAAAATCCTGATGAAATTTTATTTCAGAGCTTAAGGAGGGCTTTTCTGTGAAGTTGACAATTGATTGAAAGACATGACTACACAAGGGACCCGCTACTAAAATTGTGAAAATCAGGTTACAAAAAAGACAGGGCAAGTTGATATCGGTAATAATGCATTCTAAGTTTTAAAAATCTTTTTCCTCATTCTTGGATACCTAGCTAACAATTTTTTTAAAGATTTACATCAAGGCTATGACTTTACTTCTGAGATTCAATTTACTTTTGTAATTGTGGATAGATTACTAAATAACGAAGACAAAAATATAATGTAAATGTAACTTATTACGACAGTCAAAGTTGGAAGAAAAATATTGTTGGTATACATTTGACGGACAAGTTTCAAGAATGACCCGTCTAGAGAGTATGCTTAAATACTCATGATACTTTGTTTACCACCAGAACCAAGGGAACTCTTTATTTTATGCATTCGAAAGTCACAGTCAAGATGCAAAATTGTTTCAAAGGTTTTAGTAACCCTAAAGATTGTTCACTTGCACATCAAAACCTGAATTCATGAATTTTGACATAGAGATGGGCGAACAAGGCGTGCAGAATGCCTGTATCTTCAGATATATAAAAATCACAATGTCTCATTCAATTTGTGAATTTAACATTTAGAGTGAAGTTCTCATTGTTTATAAAATTATTATGAACAAAACTTTTCTCAGGAAAATTTCTCGGCAAAAATTATTCTGTTATTAAAAAATAGTGAGATTATTCGTGGAATTCAATCCCTAGGAATTTAAGCTATCATTTTTCTATGAGACTAACACGCTAACCACTACGCTACACAATTCCTGATGAATAGTGGCATTTAAATAATGTTTTTGATATGACCCTTGACTAAATGGACTTCAAGTATGTCTCGGAAAGATGCGAATGTTGTGTCATAAAAGTGTATTTTTAAGGTATAGTGGGTATTTGCTCCATGTTTTTGTTAACCAAAATTGTGTATTTTTGAGGATAAACTTTCAAAAAAGTGGAAGCGAAGACCCACTCATATAGAAAAATTGTGTAGCAGTATGAGAAAATGATCCTTTTTGGCCTCTTTAGTGTGTGTATGCTATTTTATAGGCAAATAATTTCAATCTTTTGCAAATTGTGGAGATTTCACATGAAGTAGACTTTAATGTTAGATGAAATATCAAAGAAAATTTAGTTGTAATTGAGATTTAATTTTTCAACTTCATGTTTGTCACAGCATAGGCATTTTGTTCACCTTGTTCCCCCATTTTCTTCGATTTTTAAAGAGCTTCAATAAATTTTACTAATTCGGGACAAGTGTTAAACTTGCATGTACATGTCTAATTGATCGAGCTGTTTTACTATTTACCACCAGTTAAAACTTTGATCTCCTATTGTGGCCCCACCCGACCCAAGTGGACCATGATTTAAACAAAATTGAAAATACATCACATAAGGATGCTTGCATATTAATATGACTAATCATGGTCCAACTGTTCTTTTTCATCAGATTTTTTTTTCAAGATTCTTTCCAATATATCATTATTGATTTCCTGTTGTGCCCTATCCTACCCTCTGGGGCAATGATTTGACTAAACTTGAATTTGTACAGTGCTTTAATATTAATATGATTTTTCCCCTTTACATTGCCATGAAAAAACTTGATACGAATGATTTGAACAAATTCAAATATACACTCTGTCAGGAAGCTTTCACATGTTTCATTTTTTCTGGTCCAGTGGTTTTTTAAGAAAATGATTTTAAAAAAAATGTCACCAGATTTTCATAAATTTTTAACTATCTCTCCTTGAAAAAGGGCATGACCCTTCATTTGAACAAACTTGAACCTTTTTCACGCAAGATGCTGTGAAAAGTTTGGTTGAAATTGGCCCAATGGTTCTTGAAAAGATGTCGAAAATTTGAAAAGTTTATAGCGGACACATGAGCGTCGGACTAAATGTGATCAGAAAGCTTGAGGATTCAGCTTAGGTGAGTTAAAAGTTGTATCAAAACACTTCATATACATGGATAACATGATGCATTTCTAACAAAAAAAAAATACTGAACAAAACAATGTCATTGTCTTGGATTTATATTCACATACTTTGATACTGAAATAGAGACTTTTTAGAATCCTAAAAATATTCCTCATAACTTTTAGATTAATAAAATATCGTGACTGCAATGAACTATTTTTTGGTGTAAAAGTGGAGTCAATGTTAAAGCAATATGAGCTGCAATTTTCATGTCGGAAATATTTGTTGCAAAATTGTAATTAACTATTTCAATGACAGAAAAAAGAACATTTATAAACTTCTGTTGTTCATATTTGCGATGGAAGAACTATCTATAAGCTTTGATTGAAGCAAAATAACATTATAGTCGTCCTGTACAATATTGATTTCTTATACATTCCCTTGTACAGAAATCTTTCTTCTGAAAAAAAAAATATTTTAGTCTAATTGATCATAAAGGATTAAATTAATACAGATTTATCATAACAGCACATTTTTACAGCAAAATAAAATTTTCAAAAATGCAGCTCATATTGCTTTAACAAGGACATATATAGGAAAAACCTCTAAGAATCTTGATAAGACAAATAAAGCAATAAGATTGCCAACTCCATATGCCAGCAACCCGATTAAGCGTATATTCCAATTTGTTCAGATCAATTCCATTGAGCAAGGACGAGGGAAAGCACAATAGGGGTTAAGAGTTTCACAGAGTAATGCGTATTAAAACTTAAAAGAACCTTTTAAAACTACTCAAGAGCAATGACATAAAATGTCCAACTATTCTGGGAAGATCGTCATTTGGAAACTAATCGAATTGTCAAAATGTCGTGTCTGGAGCAGGACACAGCTAGGATTTAAAAGTCTTTTTTCTTTGTAAAATATAGGGAAATGTGTTTTTAAAATCTTCATCCCAAGAAAACCACAGCAGCCCTCATAAAGTGAACCAATGTCGTATACTCGTGAAATCAACACAGATGGCACATTATTTCTTGTCTGAATTGGTGAATGTTATTGTATAAACTTGTACTTCTAGATGCCGTCATATTCTTTCTTGCACTACAAATTATCTACCCGTTTCAAATTTGTTTAAATTGACATTAATCTGTTATGCCACCTCTTCGAACTTAAGTCCAATTAAGAACTTATTCAATAATATTGTAAATCAAATTAGTGATGACATTTTTTTAACTGAATGGTCTTAACACTTGTCGCTCAGTGATATCTAAAGACTTCCTTTCCTCTTTTTGTTTCCAATGATTACAATAAAAAAATAACATCGAAATTATTTTCGCCACTAAATTATGTAACGTTATTGATTGTGTTTAGATAAAAGTTAATTGTTTTAATCTCACTTTCAATGTTTAATTTCTTTCCCCTTGTAAATCCCAGACGGAAGGAATATATTTCGAAATCAGATACGGTTTCCTCCCACCAGTTCTATTGAACACCGACCGAGTTATCACAAAAAATCTCTACTAACTGTATCGTAGAATCATTAGAAATGTTACATTGAAAATGAAATTTATCAATTTTACCATGTGACAATTGCCAGTAAATTTGATAAAATTTATTTTCAGTGGAACAGAATTAATGTATACATTATGATATGATGACATGTTGCAAATTACATATTTACTGGGTGGAGATAAATATGAGATTTACAATTGCTTAATTATAATTTACTTTATATTTAGAATTTTTTTATGTTTACCTCCACCAAGTACATACATGTACATACTGAAAATAAAACCAAGTATATGTACATACATACTGAAAATAAAACGATTATATCCAAGATAATTGTTAAACTGTTTATGGACAATATGGAGAGAAGTCGAATCGAATAATATTTTACGTTGCGCATATTTTTAGAAATGATGGAAAAAAATTCATTTACATCTCAGAAACATTAATTTTTTGTTCGAGCAATTATGACTTGTGAATATTCTAAGACTGTTCTCTCTCACCCATACTTACAAAGCCTGTGTGATCAACAACTGGCAAGTGCCGCAGACCCATACTTCGAAACAGGTTAAACACCTGGGGTACAGGTGTATTTGGGTACACTGTATATGGACACGGATTCATGTACCCACTGATGTCCTTATAAAAATAAAAGCCATGATTAGAAACAGTTCTCTGCCATTTGATTACATAAAATTATATTCTGAGGAACATGGGGAGATAAGCCGTAATCATCATGCATGGCATTATCTCAATTACATGAAAATATATCTGCAAAAAAGCCGTAATAACAAGTGTAGTAATATTTTTCTTCTAGTTTTTCTAACATGTCCACAAATTGGTAAATCCTCACAAAATTACTTATGTCAGTCTATTTTTCATTCCCAAATTAATATATATATATATATATATATATATATATATATATATATATATATATATATATATATATATATATATATATATATATATATATATATATTAGGGAAGGGTATCGGCAAAAAATTCGAATCGTGAAATATCACGATTTTCCCCAAAATATCAGGATAAATCGTGATATTTTTACACACAATTTTTACTGCAATTTCTTTAAAATATGCTATAAAAACATAACTTTACTTTTTAATTTTTATTTATTTTTAAAATATAAAGCATGTTTGGATGCCTTTGTTTAACTATTTTCAACATTTTTTACACTTCCTGTAATTGTCTTTCAATATTTTGAACAAATAAATGAATAATTTCCGGAATTTATAGTTATGTACCAAATACCGATATTTTAGTCTCCGTGTCACGATATGTATCACGCAATAAAAAATCGCTATATACCGTTAAACCGATAAAATCGCACATCCCTAATATATATGTTTTACAGCGGCGTTTTCATTCACAGATCGAAGTCTGAAATTGGTATTAGTTGTTTATAATGATGATTTTATGATCGATATTAAGTCACTATTTTAATTAAAACATTGATTGAGACTTCTATATACATTTCTAACCAGATGACCAAAACTGACAACCTTTGTATACTTGATGAATACGAAGCATGGCTTCAAGTTTCAATCCAGTTACGTTATCAAAATTACCCTTGAGTGTAAAATATTGTCTCAACGTAATACGGATTTTCCTCTCTGCTGTTGCAGAGTTGAATTTTTGTGTGTGGTTGTATATAGTTATTGGTATATGATAGCAAGTTACAAACCGAATTTTACTTGGAACATTATGGGTCCATTTTAAGGAAAAATAGAGCCATTTACTTAAATATTCATAGGTTGTGGGCAAGCTATAGTCCTTGAACGGACTACTTGCAATAAATTTGACTTATGCATAGAAAATTTCCGGAAAACATATAACTGGCTGGCTAATTTTATTCCTAGCCAGTGGATTAGATTGAATTAGTTTCCGTAGAAACGAAATTTTCTTGGTAGAATTTAAACTGATGTATAAGTATTTTTAAAATTAAGATATTTGTTAACTGACAGAATACATAATGAAATACAGATTTTTATAGTAGAAAAAAAACTACATTTAAGGGAGCCGACTGGGGTTTTATTGTGTGAAAACCGCTATAGAGAAACTCTTTAATTTTATACCATATGTACCTTACATTGACTTCGGTATACATGCCAAGTTTAGTGAAAATCTACCGTCTGGTTATTTTTTAGGGACCATCTCCAAATACAGATACATTTACTATAGGATTATATAGGAAAATGCCACTTTTTCGCACTTCGGAGCAAATTATACAAATGCAACTATAGACTTTTTGCTCAAATTATAGTATTTGATGGGTAATACTATATTGTACACTTTGTGCAAGAAACACAAAATTCTACCGTCTGGTTTCCAGAGGGGACATCTCAAAATGTCAAAATTCATGATATTTTCCTGTTTTTATGGAGTACAACAAAACATGACAGATACCACAGATTTACATAAAAAATAATAAAAATGATTGTTAGATTCTCAATTTCCTATGTTTAACATTTCAAGAGCATGTATTTTATACTTTTTTATTTTATGGCATAATTAATGACCCCGATTAAAGAACTTCGGTTATTCATAACGTCAAAAACACACTATTATGACGTCTATCTACCCATCATTTGAAAAATCGTTTAAAAAATCAGTTATTTGAAAACGTAATTAGATTTTTTAATCTGAGATTTCCTAAATTTGTTAATTTTTATAAATTATGTAAAAATAGTTGCTTTAAAAGAGTAAATACGCTTTATTTTACTATGCTGCACGCAGTATTTGCGCAATTAAAACCCCAGTCGGCCCCCTTAAAAAAGCTAATTCCCTTTCAATTTAATTCCCTCATTTGTTTAAAGGAAAAATAAATAAACCAATAAATTAATAAAATAAAATAAAAAAAAATCAAGTGAACGATTTTCAAGTGATGAATGACAATTTTTTAATGTTGAACATTTGCGAAGAAGTGAGCAATGATAACAGCAATGTCTATTCAGCGGTGAGGGGCGTACGTCAATTAAGGAGGCGGATGTCTTTCTATCCTCCATTGGATAAATATTTTATATTTTTTTATTGAAGGTATTCAAACAAAATTGTGCACATTTAGATTGAGATAAAAATTATACTCCATATATATTCTACACCAAAAGAGCCTTTATACTTTAGATATCGAAATAGAGGTTGTTATTATCGAAATGTACTTCACTGCAAATTTTCTTTCTTCCTTATTTGTTTTTACCGAACAAACTTTGAATATGGAAGCGGTACGCTTAGAGCTATAACAATATTCAACATTACTGGAGTTCTAGTTCCCTAGTTAATGAAAACATATTGTCAACCATTTCAAATTGTGTTCGATTGACTATAATCAATAAATCCCTGATCACACTTTGAAACAAATATAAATATTCTAAAAATCAAGGAGCTGGCCTTTATCCAAGCTTCATAACTATTATGAATTTTATTTTCACTGAAACGTATGTCATTATTAAAAGTTGAAACTTATATCATTATTAAAAGTTAAAACGCAGGAGAGAAAAAATACGATGAGCAATGTTTGGGTTGCTCTTCAAGCTGTAGCTATACAATTCACCCAATTTGGGGCCTGTTTTTATGCATGAGTACCTTTATTCCGACATAGCATCTTGAAATCATACAAATATGGGATTGCACTGAAACCTTACCATAAGCGCGTCTTGTGGAATGGCAGAAAGCTTGGTGATGTCGTGTATATCAGGATATCGCGGATAATCCTTTGTCAAATCTTCATAAGAAACGTCAGGCTGTGAGGTCCTCTACAATCAATAAAACACACTGGCAATTAAAAGGCATTTATTGATATCTTAAAAAGCATGTTATAATATGTTTTTGACAGATAGGTTGTCATACAATTGATCAGCAAGGGACAGCGTAGCCTATAACAATTTACACGTTCTTGTCCTCAGAATATACCGTATTCCTATAGACTTTATGCATTATGTTCTTTAAACTATCAATATATCAACAATACCAAATCCAAATAATTAAAATATTTACTTTAATAAAGAAGTCTAGGTCAACATCAAATTGGAAGTAGAAAACAGATCGAGTTATGAAAAAAGAATTGAAGCCTTAAAATAAAAGCAGAATTCTCTGATTTCTTATATATCTCTATTGGTGTTATTAACCTGATCACGTTCACACTTTAAGTGGATTTTCATCTTTTGAGGTTATAAATAGGATTGTACATGAAGGAATTCAACGTGATTTAACTACAAATAAATAATCAATTAAAATATTAATTTCAGTGGAAGAATTCAATAAAGGTGACAAAAGTTGTTTGGCTTGTGTTTTTTCATGGTTTTTAAAGTCATTTTATAGAATTTGGAAGACAGATTGCGTTTTGCTTCATCACATGCTAAACCTTCTAAATTTATTACATTTGTTTGGAGTCAGATTTTTATTTTAGAAACATAAAACGTGTTCATATCAATTGATGAGCCAAATTAAACCCAGTAGAGTAGGAAAAAAATCATAGATTTGAAGCAAAACGTTTTAATAACAGATATATTCTACAATTCGGTCTTTACTTCCATATAGTTACCAGTCTTCAGTGTTTAAATAAGTCAGATAAAACTTCAATGAAAGCCCAGTGGTTTTAAATTGCAAATTTGCGATGAAATTAACTTCAATTTTATTCACCATTATCCAAATCCAGAAAAGAATGTTTCAATCTACTCACTTATGTAAAGCCCTGCAAACTACTGGTACTTTAGTATTTTTCTTACTTTAGAAATATGGCTTACAGGTGGGTTACTATGTAGAGGACATAGATAATTGGAAGCACTACAAGTAAACGTATGCATGTTGCACTCCGACCAGACCTTAGGAGCATGAAGCACAAAACAGAATTTTAATTTCGAACTGAAACACCAGTTTGGAGATGCAATGTTGAATATTTTTTATTTCTATAGTTATACTTTTTTATGATTTCCGCACAATTTGATTTAAAAAAAATTAAAATGTTTTGTTCTTTCTATATAAAGAGATTAAATAAAATTAATAAAAGTTGGCAAGCAACATTTACTGAATTAATAAAATTAGTCATGTTGCCTTAAAATAAAATATCTTCCTTTGAATACAAATCCCTATGCAATGTCTTTTTTATCATTCATATAGCAGATTACTTTTGGTGAAGGGTAAAGGGGAAAATTAATATGTTCTGAGCATGTATAAGAATTTTTATGATGGACTGATGAACCAGGAATGACACATCTTTCATTTTCAAAATGAATATATCCCCCTCCAATTTATCCTCACAAGAATAAAATCGTGATATAAAAAAAGAAATTAGTAGGAGGAAACAATGTACACATTTCTATATATTGTGAAAATAATCGCAGATAAAACTATAACTTCATGATAATATTGGATATCCCTTCACGACATTAATCCATTCTTTACTCACTGTCACTCAACTTACGCGCTCACATCAGATCAAGCAGAGGCATACGGTGGTACGACTATTCACACGAAATGACGCGGAGTGCATCATTTCTATCTACTTTAACTGTTATTTTAGCAATTGTTTTGATGATTGAGGGAAATTGGTATGGCAAAAGAGGTAAGGATTTATGTATTTCAAAAAAAGAAAGTTTCTGAAATGGCAATATTTGAACAGAAGCAAATTTCTTAACTTTTAATTCTATCTTGGTATATGATTTTGAAAAATGAGAAAGGCAATGTTACACTGTCCGGGTTAAACATCTTATAAGTATTTGATTTAAAAAAACAACATATTTTTAAAACTTTTAAATATTGATTACTATTCCTGCATTTTAACTAAAGTGCGAGATTTTCATTTTCTCTGCAGAAATTAACTGAAAAAGATGAAGAAAGTCAATTAGCAAATATATGATTAAACGGGAAAAACTTTTTACTGTCGTTCTCAATCAAGAAAAATCTTTTCGACAAAATCTCCCGAGAATCATCATGCCAATTTCACCGGCATCTAATTCCACTAATTACATCAAAGTAAAACAAAAAGATAAAAAGATGGAATTGTCAATGCTAATTACTGAAAACATATTGCTTTTGTCAAAATCTGTCACAAAGGGAGAGGGGAATCAAATCACCGAATATGCAATCGCACGAGTAGTCATTTTTGTATTTGTTACCAAAAGCGTGGATTGTCGCATTGTTACAAGCATAGACAATAGAGCTGATTCACGAATATGCAAAAATTTAAAATATGATATTGGCTATTTCTAACTGCACTTTTAAGAAACGCAAAAACTTGACCATTTATTTTCTATCATCAACTCCAGATGATGATGATGGTTGTGTACATAAACCACTTAGGCTCAATCATACACACAATATTGTATTCTTGTATAAACTTTCTAAGAGATTCTGTAACAAAGAAGAATGGGCTAGATGACAGGTTTGTTTCCCAACCAAATGTTTGTTTTTTTATGTACAAGTGAAAAATTACATTGTAACTCAAATATTGATTGCTCAATTTAGATGAGAATGTTCTTAAATAAATTTTTAATACTTCAAACAATATTTTATTATGAACAATAAACAAAAGCAAATGCTAGTAATACTAGTAGATACAAGCATAATTAAATCCAGTATTAAACTGAATTGACCAAATTATACTTATAGGTTTTAATTATAAAAAAGAAATGTTTTTACAGTTAGAAGCGTTAATGAACTCAGTGTACTTAAAAAAATGCGAGAAATCCCCCCTTTTTTTAACAAAAAGTTTACCGAGTTTTTCCACAATTTCTGAATAATCATATTATTTATTATCTTAAGATTTATGTTTTCTCAGTTTTGAAATTGATCCATTGGTAATCTCGCCTTGCAGAACCCGATGTTCTAAAAGGAAATGCGCTCCGAGAGAAACCATTCTGATTAACGGAAATGTTAAATTGGTCACCATTAAGTTTTATACTTTTTTTACCCGTCAATATTAGAGTTTTTTCAATAAATCATAATTTAGTGTCGTATAAAACCATTTCCTTTTCCAATATACATATTTTTCTTCTAAAAAGTTTATTACTTTATTTGAGGTTTTAAGGATGACTATCCAGCTGCTAGGAACAATAACAACTGAATTTACTATTTATTTGATTGTCTCAAAATGCAGCTTGAAATGTTTTCGAGGTATAAATTTTTCATTTTATGCTTCTTGATATGATCCAAGGTAGTTTGAAGTCTTTGAAACAGTCTTTTAAATAGTTAATATGGTTCCTTATAAAAGAACAAAAATGATTTTTTAGAGAAAAATCCTCGAAGGACAAAAGATACAAATAAACAATTGGATGCCTAGATTGATACATTAATTTCTTAAATATTAAGAAAATGGAAACTTTCTATGTTGTTCAAAATTTTACCTTTGTACCGTCATCTTATAAATCTATGCAACTTTTTAACACTTTGTAAAACATTGTTGTGAAACATTGAATAAAAAATTAAAATTTGTTTTGATGAAAGTACTCATTTTACTTACATAAACATGGATTAGTTGTTATTTTCATGAATTTTGAAAAAAAAAGTTTGTATCATATCCTTAAACTTGCCTTATAATACACATGCTTAGAAGCTTGAAATGCAATTGGAAATGATCCTTGATACCTTGCAATGATAGAAACAAAATACCATCTAAGTACTAATATCATAAACACATAATTGTTTTCAGACACCCGGATATCTGACATGGCTCCACTGTACTGGATAAGACTTTTAAAATATTTTTTCCATGCTTTATGTAACATTTGATTCCCCATTTTAGCTTCACTCAAACCCTAGGGCCTTTAAAAAAAAACCTTGAATCCACACAACTTAGGCAATTATTTAGTGTGGACCCGCTACTCTGAAAAAATATTCTTTTAATGCACATTTTATTACTGAGCATGTAAACCCTAAATCCCTGTTTTAGCTTCACCTGCATAATAAATGAATGGTCAAGGACATGCAGCTCTTGGGAAGATCAGTTATCGTGACCCCGTTGTTCTTGATAAGATTATTTATATAGATTATTTTCCTCCATATAAAATGTATTCCCATGTTACTCATCGATCCTCCTTTTGTGACCCATCCCTACCCGGGGCCATGGTTTAACAAACTTGATTCTGTGCCATCTGATGATAATTACATAACGTAATCCTGAAGTTCTTGATTTTTAAAGTTTCTTGTTCTTTTTATTCCTCTGCAAGAACTTATAGATCCCCCACTGTGACCCACAGTATTCTCTGGAGCCAGGATTTGAGCAAACTTGAATCTGTACTAACTGAGGATTCTTGCACATTAATTTTACTAATCTGGGCCCTGCTTTTCATGAGATCTAGAAGATTTCAAGTTTTTCCCCTATATATTATTCCCTTGTAAAATGATCTCTCATTTTTGCCAAAGCCTCCCTTCAAACGCTATGAGATGCAAATTTGCACACATAAGGATGTTTATTTGGCTAATCATGGTCCTATTCATCATAAAAATATTTTAACCCATTTATTCCAATGTAAAATTAATCCCCGAGAATATTTTTATTGATACTAAATTTTATTTTTCTACAATATCTCTCCATTTAAAAAAAATGAATCCCCTTTGCCAAAGTGTACTCTGTGCCATTGCTGGTAGAAATGCGGCAAGTGGTTCTATACAGGAATCAAGTTTTGCTGTTGGTATCACTTTACTCTGTGTTTATTCATGTTTAATTAAGAAAGTGTCCATCGTTAAAATTATTGGGATCCTATGAATCTTTTATTACAAATCGGAAAAATCTCTACAGTTTCACTTAATAATAAGATATTCTCTACTTCATCGTGATTTTTTCTTTAACTGTGTATATCATATTCAGATGATTATATCTTGTCAAGTTAATCGTTGTTGAGATACACATCATACATATGAAGTTAAAAGAATCTTCCTCTGTCATCAGTGCTAGCAATAACTAAAACGATAATTATACTTTATCATTTGAAATTATAAAATATGATAATATTTTCAATGTTTTCAAATAAATAAGTATTCACAATTCTTATCAGGCCGTATGAAACAATTTCAGTTCAGGTGAGAGGGGGGATAGGAGCACATCCAAACATTTTCAGTTTGTGTGAAAGTATACCGAGCAAAAATTCCTTGACAAGCAAAAACAAAAAGGCGTAATTGTTAAGGGGGCTTATTTATAAAGAAACTTTGTTTTCTACATACTAAATATCGTCAAAATTATTGGGGGCACGTCCCCGGTTCCTACGGCCATCGACATGCTTTTTTTTTGTCTTTCTGTTTCAAAGAAGAAATTGGTAAGTGGTCCATCTTCTTCCCAATTCTTAATTAAGAGGATTGTTCAATAAATAATGCAAAAGGTCATCAAAAAATAAGGAAAGCAAGAAAAGCAGTTTCTTTTTATTTTGAATTCCTCAAAGTATTCCAGGTTTACCTTTACTTAAGTTACTTACATACTCTTCGTGCCCAGAAGGACGCATGAGGCCGTTCAACAAATGATGCCTATTTTGATGGTCACTGAAATAACCCGCACTCCCATCCATCTGTTCCATTCTACAGTGGGCCGGGGTATTCTTTGGTCGACCTACTTTCTTTTTCCTTCTGGAGCCCATGTTAATGCGATTCTCAAGATAGAACTGATGTCTCATCGTAGAATATGGTCTATCCACTTCCATCGTCTCACTTTGTTGTGGATTAGTGAGATGGTTCTTGTACTTTTCATAAAGCTATGGATTTGAGATCTTTACTGTCTAGTGTATCTTTAGGATTCTCCAAAAGCATTTACAGTGAAATGTATCCAGCCTTTCATCATCTTTGTCCAAGAGTTCTCCAGAGCTCAGAACAATACAGCAATACAGATACATCATTTTGAAGATTCTTTGTTCAGTTGGTTCTTGTGCTTTACCGTGCCGACTACTATACTTGGTTCAGGGATGGAAAAGCATTTTTGTCAAAGCCTAGACTTCTCCTTATGTCTACTTCTGTTCCTCCTCATTCTTTTTCCCGTTGATTTTCGTGTTTGTTTGTTTTTGGTCTTATCATACTATTTTTAAATCCTGTACATTTTGCAACATCGTTTAGTCTGCCGGTCTTTTCTTGCATGTCGCTGTGTGTATGTGTGTTGGATATCAGTGCCGGGTCATCGGCATAGTCGAGATCTTCTAGAGTATGATTCTGTTGAACAGTTCTACTAACTCTTATGTCATAAATGTTACACTCTCTTTTAAAAGATCTGCCTTGATGTTATCTTTGTCAGGGATTTTTCCATTTCTCATTTTAATGATTCCTTTCTTAACTTCCTCTTCTCTTACTGGCGATTATTCGATTTATGTTCATGTATTCTTTTGAACGATACATTTTTTTTTCAGGAAGTTACGTTGTTTCTGTTGGGATATAAAGAACTCCTAAAGAGTGCTCCTGTCACCTCTCTAATATCATTCCATCCTTTATGAGTAGCTCACCATTTCTTGATCGTATGTTACTTGTTCTGCTTCTTTTTTTCCTACAGATGGTGCTTCAATAGATGGTTTGTCTTTGCTGCATTTTCTGCATTGCATGCCATCTCTTCTTCGTTTCTCCTTTTATCAGCTCTAGCTCTTCTTTTAAACTCTTTATCCTTTGCTTTATAATGTATTCTCTTTATATTTCTTATTCTTCCTTATTCTCTCTAAGTTTGTTCTTCCTATTTCATCTTTCAAATTTCTTCTTTCATCGATGGCTCTGTATATTTCTGTAGTGAGTCAGTCTTCCTGTCTCCTTTGTATCACTCCTAAGATTTTTTTCTGCTGTTTTATTATATATCTATTTTACATGGGTCCACTTTTCATCAACTGTGCTTTCCTCATCTGACAATTGCTGGAACTTGTTTTGGAGCTTGTTTCTTATTTCAAGTTGGAATCCTCTGCATACTCCTGGACCTTTCAGTCTGCTGACATCATAGATTTTCCTATTATTTGCTTTTGGTTTTATATTTTTGCAGAGCTTCATCCTTATTTCCGTTGGTATAAAATGGTGATCTGAGTTGGCATCTGTACCACGCATAACCCTGCAAACCTCCTATATCTGTCAGTCACCACTACTTGGTCAATTTGGTTCTTATCTCTTCCATTAGGAGACTCCCATGTAAGCTTGTGGATGTATTGATGCTTAAAGAGAGTTCAGACCAAGTTCTTTTTGGGTTCTTTAACCTTTACACATGTCTTAAGTCTCTGTACATATGACCAGAAGACCTCAGCATACTCTTCTTTGGAGTAGCCCAAAAGACAGATGTAAATTCTTGTGCCTTCCTTTGATGGTTTTCTTAATTTAAAAAAAATATGTCACAATGACTGAGATCTACAGAATACGGGAAAGGCTAAGCTATGCAAATGTTCCTTTCTTCATAAGGTCCTGTACATCTCTAGACTTATTTGCAAAAGCGTTATTATGTATAAGAAAATTAGCCTGGACCCTGTTGGTACATCTATTACTGGACCTCTCTAGAAAAAAATCTAAATCTGTATGTTAAGACCTATATGGAGCTCTGGCTTCTTGCAATAATAGAACGACAGTGTCCTTTCTAATTCCACATTGATCTTCCTTTTTTGGCTGTAGAGGGTGTATCATTTTTTTATCACCTATCACCCAAGTTATGATGAATATTTTATTGTTAAAATGTTTATTTTTTAATAGTTCCTTAGCAATTTTAACTCATTCCTTTTCTGTGAGGAAATGAGGCTCCCATCCGACAGAAATATGTTTTAGGTTCATTTTCTTTATCAGAACTTTATAAACTGCTTGTCTTTGACTGTAAATCTGGCATTTAAAGATATCATGTTGCTTCAGCATTAATATTTTTTGGTATCACTACAGATTTCAATCCGCCATCTTTTAACTCTCCTTTTCCACGTTTGAATTTCTTAATCCGTCTGAACAGGTACTGCATGAAAGACTAGTCTTTCAATATATCAAAACCATATCATTATGTGGGTTCTTCTGCGCTTTTTGTAATGAAGCGCAGTTTTCTCACAGGCCCTCAATTTTGTCTTCTTTGCAAAGGCTATTTTGAAATAATTATCATCTCAGTGAAGAGACCATGCTTCCTTTAAATGATTTCTTTGCAAAAACAGTAGAAAAAACATGCAGTTTTCGGTCATTACGAGTTCTAGAATGAAAATTTTCGAATGTGAAAAAATGAAATTAACTGCTTGTACATTTATTATGATATACCGTATATTGGATTACTTGATGAACGACCCTCGTATCCCTCTTTGGAAAGCGGGATGACACACTTCGTTGAAATAAACTTGAAAACTATTGTATCATGATGCTTTGTGGCATTTTAGGTAGAGATCTCTTATATTATTATAATAATAAAAGACTAAGAACGGATGATACCAATAGGTCACATGGGTGACTCAGGTGACCTAATACATTCAACTCTAATGCTAAGACGGACAACACAATATTAAGCCTATTCCTTCGTTGTACAGATATAATTAATGTGATCATATGTGTAAACTGAAAATCTGCTGCCTACAAATTAAAGATTTCCTTGAAATATTTATGTTTGTCTTGGATCTCTTTGATTACTGTCAAGAATAGAACCAACGTACGTTAAAAATTAATAATTGATATATGCTATAGACGTTTTCGTCCATATTCCGATATCAATTAGGCCCTGTATTATCGAGAAATTCCTATCAAATTCAGTTAGGTGTCGCGTCCTTTCAATTTGGCGAGAAATAGGCATGATTAATGTCAACAACGAAAGAATTGGTTATACAATTTGTGTTTTGATGGACGTGCAAGATATTTTAAAGGTCAATGGAGGATGTATGTGGGAAAGGGAGACAACCATCTTCGGTATATACCATGGGGAATTAACTCCTGTCTGCAAGATCGAGTTTGATAAATATTATAATGATATAACTATGAAAAATAAAGATTGCAGATTATAAAGATTGTAAGATTAATGTTTAAAAATTAATGAATGGGTGTTAAATGACTCTCCTTTTTGTATTTCAGATGATGGAACAGAAAACGTTTTCCTTAGATATTTAGAGCAGTCACAAATACCACCAAAACAGAATGCAGACAGAAGGATGAAAATGCTTTTATTAAAGAAATTGATTGGATCAATAAAGTATGCAGAATCCGAAGACGACATTGATGCTACGCCAACATATTTCTAGGGTATATAGATTAATCTTGTATCAATTATTAAGATGGCTGATACCTAGAATTTAATTTTGCAATATAACTAAAGGGTAATAAAATAATTAAATCACAGTCAAATAGTCTTACAACTAAATTTACAAAGAGATTTCGTGTCATTTTTATCACCAGATACATGAATTAGTTGCTTCTAGGTCTTTAATGTGGACAAATACAATGATTGGATAATATATGCATGTTTATTTATTTTATTCATTTTATTTTCATATTTTATTTATTCTTAGTACGTTTGAAAGAATAGATGCGGATTTAGCGACAATGTCATAATTATTGAAATGGTATGAAACAGATTTAGAGATGTTTGTTTTCTAATTTAGAATGTGTTAGAACGTGCATTTTTTGTTTGCTTTTTATGATAAAAATTATCATATATGTACTTAAGATTAAGGTGTGGCAAGAGGTGTTATGAACGGTTCTGAACAAAATGCAAAATCACAATTTATCTACTGTTATCATTAAATCAAATTTTTATTGTGAGTGGCATTGTCCGAACACAGTGATTTTGTTTTGCGGAGTTAAATAAACTCAAAACAAGTTTAAAAATTAGTTAATTTAGACAATGAAAGGCTCTCTTTGTTTGTTAATGAGGGATTGGACGGTTGCAACTATTGCAGAAAAATAACATAACCCGCATATTTTTTTTCTTCCAACAAGGAAAAATATTTTATTTTTTATATTTATGTCCATATAAATGATAGTACAAAGTAGATTAAATTAAGTATAAAACATATTGTATTATTAATATGTACGTGATGGAAATGCTCAATTTTTATTAAATTACTATACAGATAGCCTTGAAAAATCGGTTCTAACTAGTTTAGCATTAAGGAAAATGGTTTTCATTAGAAATACATGTAAAGAAATATTCAATGGATATAACTATACAGTATTGCAGAAAATTATATAATATAGACAGGGCAGTGGTTTATATTGTATTTCCTCTACTTCTATTTTTGTATTTATTATCAGTACCATATCCATTAAAATTATTAGCTTTAGTTAACAATTTATTACAAAAATTACATCATATTGAGAGGACAGGTTTATCTTGAATTTCCTCTGCTTCTATTCTTGTATCAAAAACAAGCAAACAAACAACATTACATAAAATTGTGTAAGCTACAGAAAATTGTTCATGAATGAGTCTCGCCTTTCTTCCTACATCACTTACGTCTATTTTCATTTTAATAAAAGAATAATCTAATTTTTGATATTAAAAAGCACATCAGATGACTTCGGCAGTAATGATAACTTACATGGACTTGCATTGTTGGCAGATTCTTCTTAAATTAATATTCATAGAATATACGAAGAAATATAATGCAAATTAAATTCATGTAATATGAATCTACATGTATTGTATTTCAATTTTAAGTCAAATTTTGCCTTATAATACTACTCAACAGGGTCGGAGTTTACTAAAAGTATTATGGATTAAAGAATTATCTGAAAATAGAGATATTAATATTTTCATTTTTTCAATATTGTGGCAAACCTTGGGCTTTTGGTATGTGATTAGCTTCTATCATTATAAAAATTTATATACAATACAGTTTATTTTATGCTTGTAGGTTTGATGATCGTCATTATACAAGACTTTACGATAATGTGGAGAAAAGGGATATTTACTACTTCTTCAGATTTCTTACCAAAGAACAACAGATCAAAGAAATACAACTAACGTCAAATACGTCATTTCCAATGACTTGATGTCAGTCATATTTTTCATTGCTCGTTAAATATAAATGTTCCATTTTTCCTCAGTATGACTACCTTTAAACATAAAAGTCATTAAGAGCTTTGCTTCATTCATCTTTTATTCACCTTTTTATTGTGTATATTAAGTGTGATGTTTTGTGAACAATTCTCGTTATATTTAGTCTTTTCACAGATGTTATCAATTTTTGTCAATTGATTTTGTAAAAATGTGAAATATTTTGTTATTAATAAAAAGAATTATTTCCCTCTATCAGAAAACAATTATGTTGATCATACTAGTATATAAAATATTTGTACTGTTTTATAGACTTCATAGAAAATTTTATATAGGTATTTTAAATAATTGTTTTTATCTTATGAGTTTCGAGTTACTCAATCTAAAACAACACAGCACAATCACTGTCTAACATGGTCACGAAATATTTACCTACAGACATATTAACAAACAAAAGTCATTAGCGTAATGCATTGAGATATGAGATATTTTAGATGTGTATCGCAAACAAATTAATCAAAAAAAGACAGTAAGCTGATAGGTTATTCCCCGTGGCTCAGATGCCTATACAGGCGATAAGGTGATGTCATCTGTGAATAATTTTGATGCACATTACGGAATGTACAACTGATAAACAGAGCCTATTGACATCATGTCCTTGAAATGGGAGAGAAACCCAGATCAAGACACATTTAATGCTTTATTAATTTTTTTTAATTGAAGAGCATTAGAATTTTCTCCAAGATACTCATTTTAAAGTGTGTTCATGTAAATTTTGGGAACATCACGTGATCGAGTGTAAATCTTTTATAGTTGTCACTTTACATATATCTGAAGCACAATAGCTGCGGTCAAAAAGCCCCCACCCCCATCTTCTTACTAAAAATGTCTCAATGAACACTGGTCAAAGGTTATAAATGATTTTATCTCTCATTCTTTGTTTACAAATATGATATTTGTGAAACAATCCTATATTATTGTATTTGTGATGTACAAGCTTAATTCGTACATGTATTTGAAATTATGAACAAACTAGTAGTCGTCTGATAATTAATCTTTATATCAAAAGTTGCCTTTACGTCATGTTTTTCCATTACGTTTTTATCTTTATTCATGCGTTTTTTTTTAAATATTACAACTTAAACGCGCTGTTCGTTATATTACACTTCATCCAATGGTAAGGATCACTGATACAAAATGAAAACACAAAGGTTTCGAATAATTCGAATACATGACTGTATTTAATATTCTCTGATGATTTCTACAAAAACCATATTTGAACCATTGGTCATCCTTGCCCTAATCCTTCTAAAAACATACTATTGAAGCGCGTTGGGATACCATAATTTCTGAGCTTGAGCTGGGCCTTTTTTAAAACTTTCACATTGAAGTTCTGTCCCAAAAAGAATACAAGCAATTCTGTTCATCATTCTCATACATGTACATTATCATTGAAATGGCATAACATTCACTTTCACTGTAGTAAGTTTTTATGTGTTTTTATCTTTGGTATCTATGAGATTAAGTTCGCAACTTAGACTGTCAATAGTGGTACATTGGAAGTAAATGGATTATCGGATGAAATCGAATCTAATGTCCTGTTCACACGGAGAGTTTAATTCGCAGTAAATTAATGCGAAGTAAACTAATGCGAATGAAACTAATGCGAATTAAATTGCGTTCACACGACAACTAATGCGAAGTAAACTAATGCGAATTAAATTTTTATTTCTACAATAAGGCTATTCAGTAAGGCTATTATGACGTCATTTTGCGAATCACGTCACATTGTGCCGAGCAGATACATTTGACCACTGATTTGACATAATGTCACAGTGTCTGTACACATTTTAGTGATTATCATTATTTTCCTTTGTTTTCCACTCAAAAATAGCACAAGTACCTATATCTGACCATCGACATGTGGCCTGTGACTTAATTCTGCCCTTACACATGCGTCAAAATTTAATTCGAATTAGCTTCGCTTAGCGTTCACACGGAGCTAATGCGAAGTAATTTAATGCGCAGTAAATTAATTCGAATTAAACTAATTCGCATTAAATTCTCCGTGGGAACGCGATTCAAATTTAATTCGCAGTAACTTACGTTTAATTCGAATTAAACTCTCCGTGTGAACAGGGCATAATTTGCATTGTGGTAAGATGAAACTAGTGCCCTGTTCACACGGAGAGTTTAATTCGAATTAAATGTAAGTTACTGCGAATTAAATTTGAACCGCGTTCACACGGAGAATTTAATGCGAATTAGTTTAATTCGAATTAATTTACTGCGCATTAAATTACTTCGCATTAGCTCCGTGTGAACGCTAAGCGAAGCTAATTCGAATTAAATTTTGACGCATGCATAAGGGCAGAATTAAGTCAAAGACCACTTGTCGATGGTCAGATATAGTAACTTGTGCTATTTTTGAGTGGAAAACCAAAGAAAATTATGTCAATCAATAAAATGTGTACAGACACTATGACATTATGTAAACTGTACCTGCTCTGCACAATGTGACGTGATTTGAAAATGACGTCATAATAGGCTTACATAATACCCTTACTGTAGAAATATAATTTTAATTCGCATTAGTTTACTTTGCATTAGTTCTCGTGTGAACGCAATCTAATTCGCATTAGCTTAATTCGCATTAGTTTACTTCGAATTAATTCACTGCAAATTAAACTCTCCGTGTGAACAGGGCATAGATCTGTTCCTACGTGTCATATACTTGTACATCAAGCGTAGCAACAAAATGTAGAGAATACTTTAAAATAGTTTAAAAAAGAAATTTGCCCTCTTAGAAAAAAATAAAGTGCAAATTCTTTAGCAGGAATTTGTTTGAAATGTAACAGCTCTGGTTGTGAAGAACCTTTTTGTCGATTATGAAAGTAGACCCTTCAGGTCTTAGCAGGGTCATATAACTTCTCAGTCAGGTGACTTGACCTTAAGAAAATAGCAGCCAAGTATCATAACAGGCCTCTTATTCACAACAATCTTATGCCCTGTTCACACGGAGAGTTTAATTCGCAGTAAATTAATGCGAAGTAAAATGATGCAAATTAAACTAATGCGAATTAAATTGCGTCCACACGACAGCTAATGCAAAGTAAACTAATGCGAATCATAATTTTTTATTCAACAAGGCTATTCAGTGAGGCTATTATGACGTCACTTACAAATCACGTCATATTTTGCAGAGCAGTATACATTTGACATAATGTCATAGTGTCTGTACACATTTTAGTGATTAACATAATTCCCCTTTGTTTTCCACTCAAAAATAGCACAGGTACCTATATTTGACCATCGGCATGTGGCCTGTGACTTAATTCTGCCCTTACACATGCGTCAAAATTTAATTCGAATTAGCTTCGCTTAGCGTTCACACGGAGCTAATGCGAAGTAATTTAATGCGCAGTAAACTAATTCGAATTAAATTAATTCGCATTAAATTCTCCGTGTGAACGCGGATCAAATTTAATTCGCAGTAACTTACGTTTAATTCGAATTAAACTCTCCGTGTGAACAGGGCATTAGTTTAAAGTATAACCTTTTAAAGCTCTTCCAATACAAGGTCTTGTCTTTTGAGACGTCTGGAATTTGAAACTTTTGAACACTCTGACCTCGACTTTGAAAAGGGTGGGGTGAGTGGCTAGACCAATGATTCGATACCTTTGCAATTTCTGATCTTGACTTCTCCAAAAGATCTTGTTTCAAAATTATGTCAAGACAAGAATTTCACTTTGACAAAAACCTTTAAAATGCCTTAACATTTTAAATTTTTGACTAAAAGAAAATGGTAAGTCCACCAATTCAAGCGGCGTTTATTATTTCTACGAATTTTGAAGGAAAAAAATATTAAATAGTTTTAGAATAAGTCTCTGGACAAAACTGTAAACGACAGAACAGCTAGACAATTAAGGTGATTCTAATAAACTCCCCCAACTCCGCCTCCTAGAGATATTAAAAAGATTGACCCTAACAAAAAATTTCTATAGTTTACTATGGTTAACTATAGTGAAAACTTTGATACTTTGATTTACTATGAAACTTTACTCTGTAACTTTTTTTGAGATTTCAAAGCTTAAAATTTCTAAAATTCGATAACAGTAATGTAAAATTTGGAAATAATGTGTGAATATACAAATAATATTTCAATTTAATTTAAAAAATGTGCATGTATGAATTGAAAAACAAAAAATAATAGTAAAAATACTTTGAATTACTACAGTGAAAAAACTTTGATACTATAGTAAACTATAATTAATTATAGTAAACTATAGTTAACTATAGTACTTTTTTGTTAGGGAAGTACTTATTTTAATAATAATAAAACAATATTTGATTGTTGTTTGAAAAATTGCAGTGTAAGGGGTTGAAGCAGGTATGTTACAATTTATAATTTCTGTCTCTTAGACTGTAAAACAATAACATGGACAACAACCACAAGTTCATTTATGCGATCCAACATGAGATACATATGTAAATTTCGAATTATGAATGATTTTATTTGCATTATATAATCCAAGTAGGCAATCCGTATTTCGTAATATTTTTGCGTGGTCAGAAGTTAGAACAGATGCAGGTCGATCACCATTTGAATCAATTATGTATTAGAACAAGCTTTTAAGAGGATTGATGATTACCCTGTATGACTATAGTAAGAAAACGTAAAGTAAATGGTACAAACCCCATTGTGTTCTTGAAAGAACACATCTCTATCCAGTAGAGCGACAAGTGTGTGTCTCATAATTAAGCCTTTAAAACGCCATTTTTGTGTGATTGAGCTGCCAATATCACTGAAAGAGAAAATTGTTAAAAATTTTCCTAACATCACCTCGAAATCCAAAAAAAAAAAATATATATATAATAATAAAATAAATAAATAAATAAAATAAATAAATAAACCAAAATATGCATTTTATTAGAGAGAATAATTGGTAAAATAAGCATTTTAGCTTATGTAGCATTTTTATGTAGCAAATGTAGTATTTTTGCTGTTGAGCTTTTAAATCAAAACACTGAAAGTCGATCTAGCACTAGAACACACGAAATTTTATTTTTTGTTTATAGTGCTGGTCAAAAGTAAACACGGCATACCTTTCCTCTGTCTCTTCATTGTAATCCTCTATCTTACTTGCATCTTCTTCCTTGTATCGAAATAGATTTGATAATATCATTTCGTTTCTTAAATTTAATGGAACTCATGTTTTGATCTCAATTTGCCAATCTCTAAAAAGAAATGATAGGCACTTTTGGCATTAGTTTTCTAGGCCCATGTAATCGAAATTCAAGGATCCTGTACTTTTTGGTCTGTCTGTTTGTTCGCAGAAACTTCAACCTTTGGCCATAACCTTTGAGCGGTTGATGTTTGGGCTTTCTTATTTCACATAGGAATTCTTGTGACAAGGCCTTTGTTGCTGACCTCATTACCTTGACCTGAGGTCTGACCTACTTATGTCCTACTTTTGTAAAACTTTAACCTAGGCTTTTGATCTGCTAGGGCTCTCATATTTCATATATGTATTCCTTGTCATATGATCTACTTTTGAAAAAAAAAACATTAACTTTGGCAATAATTCCTATACGATTGGAGCTAAGGCTTTCATATTTCACATGTGTATTCCTTTGGGTACTTATATTTTGACCTAATTACAATGACCTTGGAAATTGACCTATTTGAACTATTAACCTGACCTTGACCTTGGTGTACGACCTACTTTTGAAAAAACTCTAATCTTGGCCATAACATTTGAACGGTTAAGGTCATATTGAACGGCTAAGGTCATATTTCACATTTGTATTTATTGTGACAAGACCTTTCTTTGAATATCCACATTTTTGACCTCTTGACATTGACCTTGGAGTTTGGCTTCCATATGGGGGCATCAGTGCTTCACAAACACACCTTGTATCACATATGTAGTTGACTTAAAGTTAATTCAACCATGAGGGACGCTGATATTCTTGAGAAAGCTGACATACAAGGGCATCGGTGTTTCATAAACACGTCTTGTTTAAATCGAAATCTTTAGAAAACTTAGTAGGGCCTATAGTTTTGTAAAATGTAAAAATAAATGAATAAATAAATACAAATTGCTATAACATACATTATTATTCATGCTTTTGGCTCTTGAGACAACTGGGAATGCGTTGTGAACAGTTGTCCGGAGCATGCGTATCAGAGACGATACACGTGATATTGTAAACACGTAACTCAGCGATTTGTCCATGACATCCCGTGCTTTTAGCCTGAAATTATATGTAATCATAATTTAACTAGCAAATTTATTGAAAAACTTTAAAAGAAAAATATTAAGGCAATAAAGATTAATCAAATATATGAAAAGATTTGTTTAAAGGAAATAGACATACAGGGGGGGAAAATAACAACTGAAAAATAAAAATAGAATAATTATTAACCTTTCTGTTCCATGATGAACTTCCCATTCTAAAAGAGGGACTCCTCTTAATTTGATATGTATATCATATATACCCTCATTAAAGTAGTCACCACACCACTTGGCGACCTGAAAAATAAATCGTGCCGGTTCATTCTGTGCCCATTTGATATACTATGCTTTAAATTCAGTAGATTTATATAATGTTCAGTTCAAAATTAAAATAAAATAAGATAAAATAAAACCTACCATCAATACAAGCATTATTGGCAATCCATAACTGATTTCATTGGTGGATTCTATCATAATTACTGTTAGACTTATAGTCATCCTGACCACACCGCCGAGAAATGCTGCTGCACCAATTAATGCAAAGGTGCCTGAGTTTTCATGATTGGCATATCCAATTCTGAAATATACACAAATCTTCTTTTTTTATTCTATATTAGAACTGTTAACACCTACATTTAAAATCAAGGAAATCTCAAACTGAATCAAACATCGATAAGTATACTAGTAATTTATATTAAAACAACCAATTTAAATTCAATTTGAAAAATTTAAGATTTTATAAGATTTGCATTTTCGATTTATGAATAAATTAGCCCCACACTGAAGCCATTGTGTGGCCAAAACTTTGATGGTCTTGGCCACGCCCCTCAGGGCTCAGGAAGTCAGTTTCCAAGAAATACATAGTTGTTCCCCTTTGCACAAAGATAATTTATACCAAAAAAGGCTATAACTAATTCATTCGTTCCAGAGAAGCTTGAAATATTTAAAATCACAACCGACTTACGAAAATCGATGCACGATAGACGATGCAAGATGACAGACACAAAGAGTAGGTTATCAGAGATGCTCAGGTAGATAGAGAATATAGTTCTAAGCTCATTTACGCGAAAGGCTCTTGTGAGTTTTTCTGATCGAGAAGTGTCTGATAATCGTGTGTGTGTTGTTTGTAGTTTCTGGACTTCTTACATTCCCCCTTTCACTTCCTTCCTAAGTACCACTGGTACTAATCCAACTAAATTAAGCATGAAACATTTTTTGTTGAAAAGAATTTACATTTTTTTCAAATGAAAGGCGATTCCCTTTTTTCAAGAGAGATTATGAATAAATTGTAAAAATAGAGCTCAATTAAAAATCTATTTCTTCTAGAACCATTAAAGTCAGAGAAGACAAAAAGCTTCCTTATTGAGTGCACATTCAAGTTTTATCAAATCGTCCCTAACAAAATATTACTATAGTTATCTATAATTTATTGTAGTGAAAACTATGATATTTTGAAATACTATGAAGTTTACTTTTGAACTTTTTTGAAATTCTGAAGCTTAACATTTCCTAATTCCAAAAATAATGCAGTGAATTTTGGAAAAAAATATGTGAATATATAAGTAATATTTTTTTAATGAAAAATGATTGCATGTATGAATAAAAGAACATCCAAACATCAACATGAAGACTGAATGTTATTCAAATTATAGCCCTGAACCTAGTCTGGGCTAAAATAGAGAGTCAAAGTTAGACATACCTATAGAGATAGAAAAAAAAAACTTTTAAAGCATTCTTCTCAGAACAGCAAGGTTACAATCCGTTATGGTAATACATGTATATAAAAACTCTCATGTAGTGAAATCTAAAATTTATATGAATTCATGTCCCTGGACCTAGAAATGGGAGGTGGGTGGGGGTTGGAGGGGGGAGGGGCAAAGTGGTCAAAGTTTGACGTAGGAGTACAGGGAGTAAATGCTTTAAAATTACATCTTCTAGAACAGAAGAGCCACAGTTAGTCATATTTATTTATAAAGTTCCCCAAGTAAAGAAGATTGAAGTTCGTTCAAATCGTTGTCCCTGGGACTAGGGTAGGACCGCAAAAGGAGCTCGAAGTTTTATATTGTAGTATATTAAAATAAGATCTTCTTCTCAAGAACAGAAAGACTTCAGGTAACCAGAAACATATGAAAAATTTACAAAGTACAGGTAGAGTAGATTCAAATTTATTTAAATTACGAGTCCAGAAGCCAGGTTTGAAACATTTAAAAAAAAACTTTTCCTCAAGAACTGCTGGCTAAGAACTGGTTATAATAATATCAAATGTTAACAGAAATAATAATTTGAAAGCTGACTTCAAACTTCAATATACTGCAACTAATAATCCTGAAATAATTGAATCCAATAGGTTGATATCTACTTCATGTATAAGGGTTTTAATTATCTACATGGGTGAATTAAAAAAAAAAAATGACCACCAAACTGAAATTTTTGGAAAATTCAACTACTTATAACATATTTTTCACTTATATCATCATATTGCACATGCATTCTAGTTTAAAATCCTGAAGTGGCAATAGAATAGTTGGATTTAAAAGTTTCAGAATTTTTATTAGTAAAATTTCTTTTGAAAAAAGAAAATATCATTGCACCTTAAAAGACTTTCTAAAATACATTATCACAAGAAATTATAGTTTTTTATGCTTCAAAATAGTAAAAGGGGAATAAATGATTGAATCTAGACCTTGATTGAGTATCTTCTCTTGTATTTGTGACAAAAAAATGGCTTTTTGGCTGTTATTTTACATTATTTTTTCAATTCTGGTTTGAATAGTTTTAATATGAAAAAAATATGAAGCAATAAAATTCTCCAAAATTCACTTTTTTGTCCGTTCAAGTCACTTCTTTAAATCTAAACCAAAAAAGAATTTTTATATATGAGTTCTCTTACAAAAAATACTAGATTTTGAAGTGACCCTATGTCATATTATTGTGTTGCACTCCTGACATCTGATATGTATATTATATAACATTGTTTTAAAAATTATAACACACAATAACCCATTCTTACTTTGTAAATCACACTGTTGTTTTGATATTTTTCATCGTTTACGGCAGGTTTTTCGTATTTTGAAGACCTAAAAACACGATTACTTGCAAAGTGTAATATATATAAATTGTATTTAAAAATATATGTGAAATAATGAAAACTATTCCCTGAATTGACTGTGAAATTTCTGTAATTTGTTGATAGACATACTGTTTTGAACATCAAATAGTAACAAACATTTATTTTCAACTTATTTTTTAGTAAAGATAGTTAAAAACCATTGGTAATTATAAAGCAGTTTTGTTGCACGCCTGACTGCAGTAAAATTTAAAATTAAAACCATAGAACACAAAAATTCATAAAGTGTTGGCAACATCAAGTGGTAAAGAAATTGTGCAATATTTTATAGTCCAATACTTGAGTATTTAAACAGATGAAAGTATTTATCTGGAATTATTCCCTATTTATGCCAAAAAATAACTTAAATGTATATTTAGAAGATAAAATATATTTTATAGCATATTTTCCTTTAGAGGACAAACACAGTAACCCACCAGAAAAGTTCTTCTCATCATTTTTTCTTTATTTTTATTCTTATTGGATAATTTATAATTCTAACACATTTGTTGCACTCCTGACCAAAAACATTGGGGCCTTTAAAGTAGAATTGTGAAGTGAAAATTACATAAGAACTTGTTCTGTTGTTTCAGTGAAGTTGAGGAGGAATTACTTGAATTTTATGACAATGTTTTAGTGTGTTTATTTTTAACATTCAATAAAAAAAAACCACAAAAAAAGATAAAAACACATCTGAATTGCTAAAATTGAAAAAGGAAGGATTTTAATAATAAAACTGTCAATAATTTAGTATTAAATTACACAAAAAGATTATTATTAATTAATAAATACTTCTAAGCATGAATAGAAGTGTTCTCGTCACACAACTTGAATCTTTAAAAAATGCGTTGCACTCCTGACCATAGAAATATAGATCTGAAGCACAGACAGATCCTGTAATTGATATAGCTATTTGGTAAAAATGTTCTTTGTGTCTTTATATTCCAAAATAAAGATCTGAAAATCATATAATGATCATAGTTTTTCCATGCTTGGGAGCAAAACATCAAAAGTTGCACTCCTGACATTATTGGGTATGCACATATACTTGACTCTCATTAATGCTGCTTGTGATTTATATAACATTTTTAAGTTTTAAAATGTATATCAGTTAATGTTTTATACTTTGAAAATTCTTTTTTGTCTTAATTTTCTTTCAGAATTTTGCAGTTGATGTTTTTTTGGCATCACTACATTTTTTCTGTTGCACTCCTGACATGGTATAACATTTTTTTAAACATCAGCCATGACCACAACTTGATTAAACAAAAGTTACTACAGTCCGCATTTAAAGCTCAATACTTTGAATATTATCAGGAGAGGAGGGTCTATATTTTCAACATAAAGCATTATTATTTATTTCACAGATCTCCAAAAAATATTGAAATTTCAAAATGTCACAAAAAGGTGTTGCACTCCTGACAATTTTAGCATTATTTTTGGGCATAACTTTTTTGTTAATTGAGATATCAATGAGATATTTGGCAGATATTTATACACTATCTAAAGACATATGCTGAGACATAGAAGTCTATTTTCATTGCCTGTATTTTTAATGTGGGTTGATAAATATGCGTTTGGTCATTTTTTTTTAATTCACCCACATACATGTATGTGTGTATTCACTTGTCAGAAGTGTTCGGTGACATACCTGATATATGTATATATGTATATGCAAAGAGAGAGAGAGAGAGCTTCGTGTGTGTGTGTGTGTGTGTGAGGGTGTGTGTGTGTGTGAATTGATAAGAAGACTTACTGAACAAGCACTGTGGCAACAAAGCGTCCATAAGCGGCTCCACAGAGAAGAGAAGGGACAAACAAACCGCTGGGAACATGAACGCCATATGTCCAACAGGCAAGGATAAAAAAGAAGAGGAAGAACAGACCCAGAGTTTCTAGGCTAAATTTACCTTTAAAAAAGAAGAGCTCAAATTAGTTTAAAAAAGATAACGACTTTCAGAGGACAAACCTTTTACTAGCAATTAGATTTTAACATCAACTTATTTTCCCTTATGTTCAAAATTTTGGTGAACTACCCTTTACCCCTGTTGATCTAGTTGTGTTTTTATGAAGATTTCTTTCAAATATTGAAGATAAAGGGGTTTTTGTTTTCTTCTCATTTTTGTCAGTTATTGACCATAAAAAGAAAATATTACATAATGACATGCAAAGGTAGCTAAGTTTTGGGTTCCTGTATTAAATAAAATGACATTTTTACAACATTTTTTTATTTAAAAGAAAAGAATTATTTTTTAAAAAAGCATTGTCCAATTAATCCTCACATGAGAAGATAATCTCAGATTTTAACCTAGATTTTTCTTGGCATTCAAGAACATTTAATAGAGAATTCTTTTATATCTATGCTTTGACTAGTGACTTAAATGTGATTACTACTGATCAAAAGACACGAGAAAATTTAAGGATTGATCAATATTTGTGAATCTCCAGCTTTGAAAATAAATCTACATACATATGTCTGACTTTTATTAAAATTTCAAGCAATCTAAGACTGTTTTGGTATTTAAAGCCTGAAATATGACTTATCAACACAATTTCAACAATATTCATTCATTTTATGATGGAGTGCTCCACAAATAACACCTTTATTGCGTTCAGAGTATCTTGCATTATTTTGATTGCAATCGCTTTAGTTCTTCAAGGAATATCCCTGAAAAAGGATGCCAGATGGGATCAGTATGTAACTGGAGCAGTTCAAGCAGACATTCGTAATCCAAAAGTTTATCAAATTAAAGCTTATCAATCTTTATGGAGGCTTACAGTCAAATCTGATGAATATTTGGACGAAGATTACAGAGTATATGTTGATGAATACACCAGTAAGACAGGTATTGTCTTTTTCAATTCTCATTAACGTAGCAGACAATTAAAGGTTTACTTTATTTCTCTTCAAATTAAAATAAAAAAATACTTAGCTTGCGATATCGAAAATTGTTTACAAAAGTGAATTCATCATAAATAAAAAAAAAAAATCAGTGTCTTTTATTTCTTGACTGAAAACAGTGCAAACGATATTCAAGGTATAATGTGGTGATGTTGGCTAAATATGACCCCTTATAATTCTTGCATAGCAAGCAAGAATTAACATAATGAGCTACAGTTAATGCGATTTAATTGTATCTGTTCTTTTTATCTTATCTGAGTTTATTATTGCTAACATTATTAAAGTGCATATATAGTTTAATTTGTCAGAATTAAATTTAAATGTTACTTTTTTTAATAATTTTAAATTTATGTTATTGTAGAATTCATATATATTGAAAAAAGAGAAAAACGTGTCTATTTTGCTCTAAGTTGGTATACTAGTTCCTGTAATTATATTAACAGAATGGAGGGAGGAGGTTTTACGATTAGAGTTGGCGGGTATGGGACTAGGGTCGCTATCATTCAGTGCACTTGTAATGGCGTCTTTGGTACCAAAATTTCTCAAAATCAAAAAGCTTCAGATAACCGATATTCTTGGATGCACAATTTTGTGTTTTACCTCCGGTAAGCAAATATTATTCTACATTCATTTCAATTACTTCAATTTTTATATATCAATTTAATGGAAAGTTCAAACTTTAAGACTATGTTCACAAATTTTGCTTAGTTACTTTTACTTTTTTGTACCTTGTAGCCATTTTGATATTCAGTGGAGTTGTAAAATACAGTGAAAATTATCAGACCATCCTCAATCCAATAGTTAAGGAATATGAATGGTTCTATCACATGACTGATAACACGTTGGCTATGGATTTTTACTTTGCTTTCGGAGCCGCCATATTTCACTTTTTTGGAGGGGTGTCCCTGATTATACATTTGATTATGTTTATGAGAAGTGGTTTCAAAAAAGATGAAACAAAAGTTGAGACAATTGAAGTTCAAGAGCTTGCATGAGAACAGAATGTAAACTCGGCAATGCTTATTCAACAACTGATCATTTGTAAGGGAACTTTGTATGGTACTTTTAGATTATTAGTGTCTAGTGCACTAAAAGTAGCTCAATAAAATCTATCTATGAACTTTCATAGAATATTGAAGGTTATGTATGTTATAAAAAAGAAATTTGAACCTTTTACACATGCCTTCTTTTTCTGCTTAAAGTGTCAATGAGCGTGTAAAGATTATAATAAATACCTTCTTGATGAAACAACTGTTTGATTGCTTCTTCTTGAGAATTAAAGAAAAGGGTGGCCATGTCATTATAAGAGCCTTCAGGACAAAAATATGTTCTCACAGAATCGTCAATCACTGACATTGTTCCATTTCCCTGCATTCCAATGTATTTCAATATTCTTCATATTTAGGTAGTTAAATTAAAATAAAAATTTTGTCCAAGGAATACGTAAAAAATAAAATTAAGAATTTTTATGTTTTTATATGCATAAATATAAAACAATGACTTTAAAATTTAAATCTATATGAATATGAAATGATTAATTCACACCACCAAATAACATTCATTATAAAGAAATCAAAATTGGGCAACCTTGCTGGAAGGCATGTCTCTGCACTGTCCTAGAAGCATAGCTGCTGAGAAAGATACAGTGGTGGTGACTGCTGCAACCAGCACAGCTTCAAGGATCCTGTGTAAACACAGATGGGTCATTCTTTTTTTTTTTTTTAAAAAAGTCCATTTTCTGATTGGCATATTTTTGAAAAATGAAAGTGGTTTAACTATGACTTTTTCAACTTTATTTGCATAATACAGTATTAAACTACAAAAATACATCGCATTGCAGGAAAGAAAATATTTCTTTTGAAAAATATTGACATTTTATCTTAGTCATTCTAACTTTAATGTCTTTCCTGTTACTTTCATCAAAAGAGCTGTAAAATTCGGTATTTCAAAATTTTCTTCAAATAATCTTTAGTATATTGTTAAAAAAAACTAAAAATTTGTCATTGAATGCCAGGATGCTGGGCATTTATCCAATCCATGAGTGTTTGAAAGAATGACAAAATGCCATATACTAAACAGAAACAAAATCTACGGGTTTCTTTTCATGACAACTTTATTGCATAATGTTTAGAATTGAGAAAAAAATACTTGTACATTATTTTACTGATTAGAATAAACAATTACAGTAACTTGATTATACAGATGCTTTGCCGAAACGATTTAAACTTGGAAAATGCACTGGTAACAGTTAGGACTCAGGGTAATAGGAAGGACAAAACTGTAACAGGATGGACAATGAAATCTAGAATTAAGACAAAAGTAAGACTTTTCTAACTTTATTGGTTAGGAAAAGAGAAAGAAATGTTGAACAAAAACATGATATTGCTAAATCTGATAAATTCTAGACAATGAAAGACATGTATGTCCATCCTGTTACCAAATTTAATTGTAAAGTGTTATCATAATATATATCTGTTCATTATTTTATCATTAAAGGTACTCCATGCTGTTGCAAAACTAAGAATTTTTTTTAATTATAGGTTTAAAAAATGATAAAACCAAAATAGATACATAAATACCAGATATTTTAAGGATGATCCCCCCCCCCCCCGTTAAAATTTTTGTCCACTCTTTTACCAAAGTGCTTGTTAATGTAGTAAAGGCACTATTTGAAGCACAAACATATTTCAATATGATTTACATAATTTGTTAACATATTAAACTAAACTTATATTACTTAGAAAGATAAAATAAATTGTTTTTATTGTTTAAACTCAAGGTACAAAGTCCAATTGTTCTTACTGTTACAACTTTAAGGGAACAGGAGTGACAGTAATAGGATGGACTTTTCTAATATAAATCCCTCGTTATTAAGTATAATGTAGTCTTTTTGTATCATCGAGATTTTGAAAGAATTTCTTTGTAGCTTATTCCATCTAATTTTTTAAGCAGATTAAAAAAAAATTAAAAGTCTGAGTTCTTTCTTATTTGAAGGTAACAGAAAAGACATATTTTCTCTATATACTTCCAATGACCTCTGTACCCTTTATTTTTTCACTTTCAATTCATGGCACTCATTAAATTGAGACAACAGAAAATGATGAAATATTAAGGACCTGTGAAAGGGAGATAAGTTTTATTTTAACATTCTCTTTTTGGTAACAGAAATGACATGAATTGATAGGACATGGCACTTCCTGAATGTTTATTGCACAATGCTAGTATTTAGTGGGATACATATTAAGTGAAACACCAATATAACATTAATCTGTGAATGAATTCAATTAATATAATGTGCAAAATTTGTACATATCTACACAGAATAATATTTTTCCCATCATTTAACTGAGCACATTATAAAATTTCTGATAATGTGACATGACTTTTCTGTTAATTTTTAATGAGAAAGAATACAATATTATTTTTAAAACGCCTGGGAGATGATAAAAACATAACTTGTAAGCTGTATAATCATTTACATTAACAGACGGGAAAACAATTTTCCTCCAATGAATAATTTTCCTATTTTCTGATCAAAAGACAAAAAATTGGACATTTTTTGAAAATGACCCGTATACAACAAACCTCCTAAATTATTAATGAAATATATGGAGATAACGAACAGTATTCAAGCTCAAAAGTCCATTATACAATACAAAATAGGAGCAGAGCAAACACGGACCTCCAAACATCAGAGGTGGGATCAGGTGCCATGGAGGAGTGAGCACCCCTTGCCGACCGGTCACACCCGCCGTATGCTCCTTGTCATAATCGGGAAATAACGGAAAAATCCGTCGACAATCCAGTGCGCAAATAATGGCCTAACAACCAGCACGAAAAACGTCAGTCAGCACCTGACTCAATGTTAAATTGTATTTGCTGACAAGGTCAACGTATCGACCATAGAACTTACGAAATGATGACTCCAAACGAGACAGCTGATATTCCTGCCCCACCAACCTATTTGTCAATAATTTACCTCGTCTTAGAAATTGTACATACGTAGAGCATGCTCTTGCACATCGAATCAACTGAGAGATATATACCCCGTACGCAGGCGATGAAGGTATATTGCTGCATAAGTAAGGGAAGTCGACGATTGAAAAGTTAAAGTCATCACGTTTATCATAAAGCTTGGTTGTTAGATTAATTCTTATCTTAATTCTTATCTGGTCACTGACATCTTCCTAGTTCTTTTAAAATAATTTTTTTTTGAAAAATACTTCTTTGCGTTACCTGATACCTTTGTGTTTCTTCTGGACATGTTTCATTCTGTGCTTTGTTAGAAGTAGGTTTATGGTGTTAAAGAGAGCGCCAAATACACCACCAAGCAGTCCCATAAAAATAAAGACGACTAAATCTGCGGCATTCCAAAGATGGCATCCTATACCACTCTCATTAGTGCACTAGAAATGTATTTAAATATTTCTCAAACGGCGATAATTTGTCTTTTCATTATTTAGGACCTTATTCTTCAAACTTACAAATCAATTTCAATGTAATTCAAGATTTTCTCTTCTAAGTTCATGATGCAGGAAATGCAAATCTATCGCTCAATCAACCACTGAATGAATATTTAGGAAACACTAAACATTCATCTGATCGAAAAAAAAATGTCGTGGGGTTAAGGATTCACTTTTGCAACAGTTCCAAAAAAAATATTTTTAGTAGAATAAAACCTTACAAATAGATAAGAAACAAAGATTTGAAGAGAGATACTAAATACATTTTATTAAGTGTGTTTTATGTGATTGGCATGTGAAAAATTTTGAATAAAATGTACGTGAGAGACATAGATAGAAAACATAGAGTGCCCAAAACATCTATGGTATAATTTTTAAATGAAACCATTTTATGTACCTTAAACACTCCAAAATTGATGAGTCCAGGGAGATAAAAGTATCCCCAGTTTCCTGTGTTGATCCCAGAGAGAAAGAAATTCAAGCTATATGTCGCAGCCATGGAGCAAAAAAACTGTGGCAGAAAGAAACCAGAAGTCTCTGACGAGACTGTAGCTCTACTGGTTGTATTTATAAAGGAAGATAAAAGTAGCACTTGGACTTGAAACTTTGAAACAGCAATAAATAGAATAATGATCCTTGGTTTAGTCTCTTTTGTGGCAAGATTTATTATTATATCAGACTAAAACTGTAGGAGGAGTAGCCTTTTAAAACAATTTTACAGAAATTTTGATTTAAGTAACCATGGCAACATCATTCAACAAAATCAAAAACCAATAACACCAATTATGTATCTCTGTAGTCTACTTGTATGCCACATTATACTGAAATCAGACAAAAAGTGTAGGAGGAGTAGCGTTTTGAAAGTATTTCAAGAAAATTTCTATTTTTAGTAACCATGGCAACACTGTTCGTCGAAATCCGAAACTGTACAGAGAATTATGTATCTTAGTGTAGTTTACTTGTGTGCTAAGTAATACTAAAATCAGACCAAAACTGTAGGGGTAGCATTTTGAAGGTATTTCAAGGAAATTTCTATTTTTAGTAACCATGGCAACAATGTTCATCGAAATCAGAAAATCAATATAAAGAATTATGTATCTTAGTGTAGTTTACTTGTGTGCTAAGTAATACTAAAATCAGACCAAAACTGTAGAGGTAGCATTTTGAAGGTATTTCAAGGAAATTTCTATTTTTAGTAACCATGGCAACAATGTTCATCGAAATCAGAAAATCAATATGAAGAATTATGTATCTTAGTGTAGTCTACTTGTTTGCAAAGTTATACTGAAATCAGACCAAAACTTTAAGAGGAGTAGCATTTTGAAAGTATTTCACAGAAATTTCTATTTTTAGTAACCATGGCAACACCGTTCATTGAAATCAAAAACCGATACACAGAATTATGTATCTTAGTATAGTCTACTTGTGTGCCAAGTTATATTGAAATCAGATCAAAACTGTAGGAGGAGTAGCATTTTGAAAGTATTTCACAGAAATTTCTATTTTTAGTAACCATGGCAACACCGTTGATCGAAATCAAAAACCGATAGACAGAATTATGCATCTTAGTATATTCTACTTGTGTGCCAAGTTATATTGAAATCAGATAAAAACTGTAGAAGGAGTAGCATCTTGAAAGTATTTCACAGAAATTTCTATTTTTAGTAACCATGGCAACACCGTTCATCGAAATCAAAAACCGATACACAGAATTATGTATCTTAGTGTAGTCTACTTGTGTGCCAAGTTATATTGAAATCAGACCAAACTGTAGGAGGAGTAGCATTTTGAAAAATTGTTTACAGACGGACGGACAGACAGACAGCTAGACAGACGGACGGACGACGGACACCTTACTATCGCATAAGCTCTTCTGGTCTCTGACCAGTAGAGCTAAAAATAAATAGCATTAAATGGGAGAGTAGTAGAGAGTAAAGAGAGAGAGAGAGAGCAGTAGAGAGAGAGGATGTTGTCTTACAGATCGCCATGTGAGTTTCTGGTTCCAGAAGGAACACCCCTCCTCAAGACTGAACAACACCCCGCCAATTGGGGCTCCAAATGCAGCTAAAAATGTAAAATTAGAAAAGTGTTCAGTTTATGTGCATCCTCATTGTTTTCATGTATATAATAAATTCAATAAATTTTGAAAACTTATATCTTTTGTTTGTTGATCATGGAAATACTATAGAATAACAGTTGATACTTTTAACAACTTAAACATTTTTATATAAAAATTCAGAGGTAGAAAAAATTATTTTCACTAATTTCTTTCTCTTTAGGAATTGTGATGGTGAGATTCACTGTAAGGTTTTAGGATGTCAATAAATTACTTTACACTTAACATCGGAAAATTTCATTCTGGAAATGTTTGACTGTGTATTGACCTGTCATAAATGTCAATATTCCGGAAACGTGAGAGAAACAAAAAAATTTCTGAATAAGATAATCATTATTTTTTTCACCGGCAGGTTATAATCTAATAAAGTCTTGAGGAAGGCGTTCTTTAATTACCTGCAACACCTGCTGCTGCTCCGCTGGACACGAAATCTCTCTTGTCTCTAATTAAAAAGAAAACAATCATGACGAGACTAATAAACAATAACAGTACTTTGACTTATAGATTCCTTATAAATTGGAATAATAAACACTTGAAACTTAATCTGTTTGGTAAAAATTTTCATTATTTCATAATTCATTTCCACAATTTTTACAATGGAATATAATTGTGATGCGCTTGTGGGTTGTTTTTTTATGCTGTAAAGATTAAATGTATAACGATTGCACATACCGATCTGTTCTGAAAAAGCTGTACTTTTTAATATTGATCTTTCTGAACGCAATACTTTGAAACTAATGGAGAAAAATAAGAAAGGATAATAAATGTTGATAAAATCAAACAAATATCGTAATATATGAAAATTGGATTTTCATTCTAAAAAAAAAGATTGCAAGTTTGTGTCGGTGAATTATTAATTAACTTACTTGGGGGACACCTGCTCCTATGATAGCTCCACTGTGAATCATAGGGCCCTCCTTTCCCACAAATAAACCTAAAACAAACAGAAGGGTACTTAAAGTCAAAATATACTACAATTGTTAATGAGATCTTTAGAAAAAATGAAATTGAGAATTTCCATGTTATGTTTATTTCATGGTCATGCTGATATATCATGAAACTGGTGAGTAAAAAAGTTAATCCATTCCAAGAAAGGACGGTGTTAACGCACCACAGGTCAGTTAGATAATTTTACCTCCCGCCACACTGAAGAGTACACCCACGGCTTTGGAAATGAGGGTCATCAGGCGGCCAACACGGGGTATCTTCACCCCATTCAGGTAACATTTAATCTCAGGGATACCGGAACCTCCCGCCACAGGCTGTGATTATAGAGACATGTCAAGTTACAAGTATGCAATATGTTTTGAGTTATAATTAGCATAGAATTATTGAAGCCCTCTGGTCGTAAGAAACGTTATAAATAAATTGTAATCATTCTGTCATCTTTTACTTCCGTAATTGAGAGGAGAAATTTGGAAAATATATGTAAATAGTACCTCCGTGACAACCAGAAAAGAAGCAATTATGGAAAAACCAACGTTGAATAACAGCAAAAACAACAGAGACACAACAAGACATCCATGTTGGGAACACGTTGATATAGCTGATTTTAATGAGTAAAGGCTCTACATTGTGCTAAAAGTTTCTTATAAAACGGAAATAACTAACACAGGCCTGTAGTAACCGGGGAGAGGGCGGGGCACGGGGACAAGCCCTCAATAATTTAGCCAGTATATACTTTACAATAAAAAACAAAATTAATTTATAAAGTTGTGCCCCCTTCAAAAATATTGTCAGTACAATAGTAAAACAAAGATAATTTTACGGTTGTGCTCCCTTTAGAAACGCCTGACCCCCTTTACTTTGGCTTATCAAGAATTTCTGCTAGTCCCCACCCCAACCCCATCCGAAATTGCTTTCTACGGACCTGTAATACGTAAATCTCAAAAGTACAATCAAATTATTTATTTATTTTGTTGGTTTGTTTTCAAAAATGTTTCTCTACGGGAGCCAATGTTTCAACTTTTTATTTCATACATTTTAAATCATTTTACTAAGCAACAATTGAACAATATTTACTTTTTTGAAGGAAATTGTAAAGAATATAAATTAATCTAAAATGGACGTGATGAAATTCATTTAAATTATGATTAGATTAAGTCTCTCTTAAAACACAAACTTAAGACTACATTACATTTGGGAGGAGGGGTCTGATTAAGACTAACTCAGAGTTCTCTTCATTGTTGAACCCATACCCATTATTTCTAAAAGCCAACGCGCGCTTAGAATTTTATCTAGAATTTGCATGTAACAAACATTTTACATGAGTTGAGGATTCATCAGCACCGTGGGGCTTATTTCAGCGGCTGCTGATTTTCAATAACAATATAAACATAATAAACAATGATAGAAAAAAATAATTGATTAACAGAAGTATAAGAAAAATAATCAGATACTGGGTGACTGATGACATCTTAGCGGTATGTTCGAAAAAGGGTCGATTTAGATGAAAGATTAAGTGTCGATAGATATAAATAAAAGTCAATCAAGAGATTTTACTTTCCTTCACATATTATGCCTGAGGCAGGAATAAGACAGTGCGGAATTTAGAAAGACCAAAGTATGGGAGAAGTTTTTAGAACAATTAACTCTACGTCTAAAACCAGTAATGCACGTACATTAAATCTGAAAAGTAACATTTCACAGCGAAACATACAGAAAATATTGTTATTTTAAAAAATTAAATACATGTGTAATTATTCAATTTTTATTCTCATATATTTTAAAAATTAAAAAAATTATTGTTATATTATGCCTACAAACCTACTCTTCCAAGCAATATTGATTTTTAAAATATTTTTAGTTCGATTGAAATTCACCCAAATCATTTCATTTTATATCATATTTATGAGTGTCGGACATCTTATTCTAGTCAACGACTCATTAAAGGATACAATCTTCAACGACACTGAATTTAACAGAAGACAACAGTTTCACAATATAGTCTATGAATAAAGCAACCTGGAATGAAAAAAATAGCATCACAATAGAGGAGAAATAAGAAAAAAATATATAAAATATCTTGCTTTAAAATATTGAAATAAACATATCTAGAGTAACTATCACATGTACAATGCACTTATTAACGTTTAAAGTAGTAGAGTGCACTTATATAGATCACGATTTGAGATGATGTCAATAACTTTCGACCAATGAGCACAAGAATATTACTGTTTAAGGTGACATGGTCCACAACTTTGCATAAATATCTTAATAGATTTGTTTGGCTAAAGTAATGGTTATCCTGATATCTAAAGAAGTTAAACCACAGAAAAAGAGAATTAAGTTCATTCAAATGCTTTTATGTTTGGAGCAATTCTAGCCATACATAGGACAAAAATTTTGTGTGAGCATGAGTAGAAATTTAAAAATTTGTGTGAGCATGAGTAGAAATTTGAAAATTTGTGTGAGCATGAGTAGAAATTTAAATTTGTTTATGCGATCATGACAAGGAGCACACAGCGAGTGTGATCGGTCGACAGGGGAGGCTTACTCCTCCATGGCACCTGGTCCCAGCTCTGATGCTTTTAGAGATCCGCATTTGCTCTGTTCCTGATTTGTATTGTTTCAATGGACTTTTGAGCTTGATTACTGTTCGTTATCTTCATATTTCATGCGACATTAAAGGCCGGTCAACAAGTTTCATTTAGTCTTCGGAAGCGTGTCAAGTGCGGTCATTCAAGCTCTTTCGGTGATAAATATATTTACAAAATCTTTGTTTATCTACGATCTATTGATGTGCATGTACTTGTCAAAATTAAAGACAATTTTCTTGAGAATTCATTTTTTAAAACAAAGATTCACTATTTTTGCATGTTATTTTTATTTATTTATTTAATTTATTTTTAAATTTTTTTTAAAAATCATTTTTATTTATGTATGTATTTAGTTATTTATTGCTTAAATCACATAGGCAGAAATACACTAAGAAGCGTGTCGATTTCTAAAGATAATGACTAGAAAAATTAAATGGTGAATTTTGACTTGTTTGACTTTTTGTAATTACTAATGTCACTGTAGTACTTCAAAGAAAACCCACATCTCATTAATACTTACCATTCCAGTCAAAAATCCTATCATAAAAGTCACAATCCATTTTATAACCTCGACTCTTGTAGATGACTTCTGTTGTGGCGTAAGGTAGTTATTTTCATGTAAATAAAATAGCATTTATAACTAACATTTAAGTAATTTTAAGTACTCAGACAATATTTGTTTATTTGAGTGATGAATTTTAATGCTTATTCACTTATTTTAATTAAGTAATTGTAAAACAAGTAAAATGGATTTATTCTACCGTGTTACATGCTTACATTTTCATCTGATCTTCTTAGATACTCTTCGTATGGCTTGTTAAAGCATCGGTCATAGTCTAAGCTCTGAAAAGAAGATATTGTGATTTACTAATTTTGATCTAGTGCAAAAAGTTATAGGAAAATTTCATTATAATGAATGCTTATGTTGATTAAAAAACTCAATCTTATGAATTAAATATAATGAAATCCGGGTTGCAGTTCTAATTAGATGAATCTCTCTTTATGTTAAATCAACAAAGGGTTTACTGATGCAAACCTCAAAATCTTTCCTCGGTAAGTGATCCTCTGTGGTTCTGTGTCTGTTTCTTAAAAGAGGGCGCTAAAAGACGAAATAGAATTCTAAAATAATATATAATTAATACATTAATAAATTGAAGAAATGTTTGATTTCTTTAAATATTTAATCCCGATACTACTAGTATTTAGAAGTGCCGAAGGTAGCTAAAAGTTTGCAACTCTAACTTGTATTATACAAAATACACCTGCAAATGTAAACACCCAAAGTGAAAGTAAACAAAAAGTGGGCGTATCACTCTGTAGATTAGTTTATTACCATTTCTTGGCTCTGTGGTTCTGGCTGGTCCCCATGGTCTTCACCAGTCCCCCGCACAGGGGACAAAGAACAACAGGAGCAGTCACAGTATATATCCTCCTCCGTCATTATTGTTTACAAACTCTAAAAATCTGGACCCTGTTATCTTACTGAGGACACGAGTACTTTAAGGATAACAATTTACATACTGCTCAGCTGTTTACTGATTGTACAGGTCTAGACACATATTACATTAAACTGTTATAAAGTAGGTCAGTTAAAAATTTTTGTACATTAGTAAATTAAACAAAAAAAAATGACCGGAAACATAATTATCAACCTACACTTAAAAAAATTCAGGCCATGTGAGTAAAAATGGTTCAGCATGTGTCTTTTTATATTGGCTAAATCCTGACAAATATCTCGTATATATATATATATATATATATATATATATTGAGCTTTGAATTTAGACTGTAATAACTTAATGGCAAAGTCATTGTCACAACTGATGCTGAAAAAAATATTATACTATGTCAGGAACGCAACAGAAAAAAATTAATGTTTCCATAAAACATTGATTTAAATAAAAAGTATGATAATTTAGTCAAAAAAAAAAGAAGAATTTTTGCAGTGTAAAATAATAAATGGTATACTATTTACAATATGATCAGCTTTATGAGGTAAAGTGTCTCTGCATTCCCATTTATGTCAGGAGTGCAACAATTCATACTTTTGCTCCCCAACTTGTAAAAACTTTCATTAGTATATAATTTTTTGCTTTCTTTTCCGGAAAATAAAAACCCAAAGAACATTTTACTCCATGTAGCTTAGATCTTTACATTGTAAGGAGAGCAACACCTTATTTTTAAGATTCAAATTTAAAGATGAAACTACTTTTATTCATACTACACTGTAGTTATTATTATTTGATCAATATGCATTTATTTGATTAATTTAGTACTAAATTGGTGATAGTTTTATAACTGGAATCTAGATCTTCAATTCTATCAATCCAGATGTATTAATATCTTTTATTTTAATTTTTTTTTATGAAATTTAAAAGTGAAACACTGAAAAATTATTTTCAAATCAGGATAAGTCCACAACAACTTCGCTGTAGCAAACGAAACATGTTCTATTGTAAGTTATGCTTCAAAATTCTACTTTAAATTCTTACATGTTCTTGATCAGGGGTGCAACAAATTCGTTAGAATTATCAATGATTAAATATGTACTAGTACAAACAAAACTGAGGAGTAGAATGTTTTTAATTTACCTCAAGTGCTAACAGTGTTTATTCCATGAAATAAAATATCCTATAAAATATATTTTTATCTTAAATCTTGTCAGTAAATACAATCTATCACTAAGTCAAATGCAGACTGACTTTTTTCATACTAATAGATAGGCCATTATTTACACATTGAATTGTCGACGGATTTTTGCGTTATTTCTCGGTCAAGACAAGGTGCATACAGCGGGTGTGATCGATCGGAAGGGGATGCTCACTCATCCATGGCACCTGATCCTACCTCTGTCTTAGAGGTCCATGTTTTCTCTGCTCCTATTTTGTAATGTTGAATGGACTTTTGAGCTCGAATACTGTTCGTTATCTCCACATATTTCATATATATATATAAATATATATATATATATATATATATATATATATATATATATATATATATATATATATATATATATATATATATATATATAGACAAAGAAATTCACTTATACAAGGATACCCACTTCCGCCTCAGCCCGGGGTTGAACTCTTGACCTACGGAATCTGTCTCCTAGCAGTACAGGAACAGCGCGCTAGACAGCTCGGCCATCTAGGCAAGTCAAAAAAACTTGCTTTCGATGCCGATGGAATTCTCGCGGCGCTGTCCTACACAACACGATCATTGAGAATGGAAGTGAGATACAGTTATTTGGACATTAGTTTAATTAGAGGATCGTTACCAATACGCATTGTAATGAATTAATTTTATTTATAAAGCACATTTCACAACAACTCTTAAACTAACATAACTGCCCTAAGTGAAGAAATATTAATATGGAAAGCACAAAGAAATTCACTTTTACAAGGATACCCACTTCCGCCCCAGCCCGGGGTTGAACTCTCAACCTACGGAATCTGTCTCCTAGCAGTGCTTTATAAATAAAATTAATTCATTACAATGCATATCGGTAACGATCCTCTAATTAAACTAATGTCCAAATAACTGTATCTCAGTAAAGGAGAAAGGCCTCAAACTGTCCATTCTGTGAGAGAAAGAACTAATCGAGGGGCCTCAAACTGTCCATTCTGTGAGAGAAAGAACTAATCGAGAGGCCTCAAACTGTCCATTCTGTGAGAGAAAGAACTAATCGAGGGGCCTCAAACTGTCCATTCTGTGAGAGAAAGAACTAATCGAGGGGCCTCAAACTGTCCATTCTGTGAGAGAAAGAACTAATCGAGGGGCCTCAAACTGTCCATTCTGTGAGAGAAAGAACTAATCGAGGGGCCTCAAACTGTCCATTCTGTGAGAGAAAGAACTAATCGAGGGCCGTAGTCGATTAGTTCTTTCTCTCACAGAATGGACAGTTTGAGGTCTTTCTCCTACTTAAAATATGATTTCCTTTGTTCTAAGAATTAAATAAAAAATGTACAATACTGGTATCAGATATGACAGGTAGCACACATACAATGACAAATTCATTGTTTACAGAATGGACAGTCGTAGGTAAGCTGGGATGCACAGCAATTTGTTGAATAGTCATTGTGTTTTCAAATGCAAATAAAAGGTTTTTGTCTAAGGAATAGACCGTTACAGGTGGATTTTGAGGGATACTAGTATTTATACAAGGATGCGATGCTTCAAAATCAGTTTATAGTTTGCGTTGTAAAGGCATGGATGTTTTCCTCCGATGGAGAGAGTATATGACAGAATCAAAATCTAATGAACTAAAAGATGCACAAAATCAGTGATAGTTGGACCTGGGAACAGAGAATAGTAAGAGTAAAGAAAATATTAACCAAACTTTGACCCAAAAATGAATTTCTTTTTCGACAGAAACAGATGATCAAATTCGAATCAAACCTGGAAATGTTTTACATGAATTCAATTTTTGAGGATATATTGACTGCAACAGTGTAATGGTGAGATGCAAATTGTGTTCAAGTGTTGGATTAGCCATGAGCCAAACTTCGACCTGAAAATGTATTTCAAATCAAATCTGGAAATGTTTCAGATTTAATTATTTTCTATGGAAGCAGTGAAGTGTTCATGGTGCAAACTGTTTTCTGGGTGGTGGATTTAGTATTAGCCGTACTTCATTCTTAAAATGGATTCTTCTCAAGAGAATGCATGTTGTTTTCCAAATTTAAATCAAACGTGAAATTGTGTCATTTAAATTCAAGTTTTGTGAAAATTGAGTTTTGAGTATTGAAATAATGGGCATTATTCATAGATTTAAAAGTATAAAATCTAGCAGATGCTTTGCAGACATTGTGTTCTGAATTAACTTAGATCTCTGTGTTCTTTTTGTTATTTACATGTAAACTGAATCGTATTTAATGTATTTGTTTTTGTTTCCTCTTGGGCACATTCCAAATTCTCCATTCTGTTTGTTTTAACTGTCCATTCTCTTTGAAAAAACTGTCCATTCTTAAAAAGAACTGACGGTTTTCCAAAAAGAATGGACACTTACAGGTGACTCAATGGATTGTTTGAGTAGTAAGGTCAACATTAAGCTATAGAATGGACAACACAAACAAAAGGTTTACGTCACAATCATGTTTTAACTTCCATTCTCAATGACCGTGTAGCGTAAGACAGCGCCGCGAGAATTCCATCGGCATCGAAAGCAAGTTTTTTTTTACTTGCCTAGATGGCCGAGCGGTCTAGCACGCTGTTCCTGTACTACTAGGAGACAGATTCCGTAGGTCGAGAGTTCAACCCCGGGCAGGGGCGGAAGTGGATATCCTTGTAAAATTGAATTTCTTTGTGCTTTCTATATTTATATTTCTTCACTTAGGGCAGTTATGTTAGTTTAAGAGTTGTTGTGAAATGTGCTATATATATATATATATATATATATATATATATATATATATATATATATATATATATATATATATATATATATATATATATATATATATATATATATATATATATATATATAGTTAGTTAGTTAGTTAGTTAGTTAGTTAGTTAGTTAGTTAGTTCATCAATTGTGACTAATAGGAAATAATTCATGATATGATCATGATATGAAACGAAATGTAGACAGTTTTATCTTTTTAACCACGAACAGACTATAAATAATATACAATATCATTACAATTTGTTGTTGCAAAAACTAATGATTTTTTTTTTTTGTTTTTGTCTTAAATTTTAAGAGCCATTCTCTGTAATGACTTGAACTTTTATATAGGAGCTGTGGCACGCATAGTCTCAGAATTTCTCCAAACTCTCTATGATAAAAGTCTTTGATACCGTAAACTCAAATCAGGCCAAAATTGGTTGCTACGTGTCATGGTTACCATAGCAACATGTTTTAAAGTTTGAAAAATGGCATTTTTCAACATCTTCAGAGTCCCACAGTTAACGTTTGCAGCAAAGCAAACAAGTGGCAATGACTGTTTCTGAAAGTTGAAGGCCTGGTGTCTTAAATGCATGATAAACATGTTTGGTAAATCATCTTTAACATACGTTACTATGGAAACAAAGTATTCAAAAGTAATAATTTTGTTCATTTAATTTTATAAAGTCATACACTTAAGAATAAAAACAATTATAGCTTGAAATGCAAGCAATTAATAGAGAAGAGATCCTTGTAACATATACCAAGGACAAAATATGATATTTCTTATAGGTTGGCAATGGTTGCCATGGTTTTAATACCACGAAGGGATTTTAAATTTACTCTCTTAGTGTTTTAATCTTATCCTATCTTTTTAAAAAGCATATTTCTATATAACTGATGATCAATTTTTAAAGGCCTTGGTGTGACCCTAATTCTTACATTTCAACAAATTCAATTTCAATTCTTTAAATAGTGCGTTGCTATGGAAATAAGGCGAAGAAACATGCATAAAAATCTGAAAAATACTCTGTTTCCTTGGATACGTACCGTTGTATGTAGATTCCCAAAACTTTAATGATTGATATATGTGAACAACTAACCTGACTTTCAATTTTGACTATCACCCAATCTCTAACTGGATGCAAAAAGCTGGCACATAGGGTCTAATATTGACAAAAAATTAACAAAATCGAACATTTTCTCTTCTTGGTAACCATAGCAACAGTGTTGTATTTTTCAATAACCTTTATCAATATATGATATTCAACATTAGTTCTACGAGATAAGTACTATTCAAGGTGATTCAAATAATATTTTTCTTGATTAAAAGGTTAGTAAATACCCAAAGCAGCAAAAAAATATCACTTTAAACAACTAGTACATTGTTTCCATGGTTACACTGCAAAGTAACAATTAATCTCAATTTTTCTTATGTTGTCGGTGTTGCAAGGTCCTAAGGATGCATATGTGCCAGTCATGAATTTTATTGTTTTTCCTCACGATAGTAGCATTAACCCAATCATAGCAACAGATTTTGCATGGTGACACTGTGTTATCATGGCAACCATGAAAGTTATTTTTAGAATAATATTGCCAATACCTAATTACATGAGGTCAAATATTTTTCATTGTTTTTCTTACATTGTTGATTGAGTTTGATCATGTAACATCTATCATTTGTGACTATAGAGCGTTTTTCAGCATTTTTCAGCATCTAAAATGTATTCCAAATGTACCCATGGTTACCACTTACTTAGAGATTAATTCTAAATAGTTTCTTTATAGCATAAGTGGCAAGAAGGTGTCATGTTTTTGGGAGAATGGTTTGTTTGTTTTTCTTAGTCTTTATTAAGACTTAATAAAGATTTAAAGTAGCTGAAAATCTCATTTTTTTCAACTTTTCTGGCTGTTACCATGGCAACCAAGACACATAGCAACGAAATTTTATTTGATATATGTTTCTGGTGTCAAGTTGTAATAATGGGCAAAGTTTCATCAAAATCGGTGACCATGCGTGGCAAAGAAGTTTAAGTGGTTACAGAGAATCGCTATTAAATCTTACTACAATCAGCAGTGCAACAAATCTTTTTATATAATTATCAATGAACTTCATATTGAATAACATTTTTACAACAAAATTAATTGCAGAAAACACTTGATACTTTTTCTCATTTATATCGTTATGTTTATCAACAAATTACAAACATTTTTAAACACTACAGTCGATTTATAGAATAATTTTCAACACCAAACAATTTTTAAATATATATTGTTTGATCATATAAGAATATTTTGAAGTCAAGAAAAAATGAAAAACTTTTCTTAAATGTTTATCAATTTCAAAAAAAGAAGAACTGCTTTACAAAATTTGAGTTATTGGGTGTTTTGATTTTTAAACAAATGTTTAATTTTAAAAAAAAACATATAAGGAATCAGGAGTGCAACAAAATAAAGTACCATAGGATCACATCAAAATGTAGTATTTTTGTAGGGTTACTTACCATATCAAAATTCTTTTTGGCTTACATTTAAAGAACTTACTATATTGTCAAAAAAAGTTATTTTGGAGGAATATATTGTATCACATTTTTTTTCATATCAAAACTTTTCAAACCAGAATTGAGACAATTAATCCTAATAACAATCAAAAATGCCATTTTTTTCACCTAAACAAGAGTAGAAACTCAATCAAGGTTTAGATATTATCATTTATATCTCTCACACAATTCTAATAGGAAAAACAATAAATAATTTGATTTTGCATTTCATGAGGTCTTTTAGGATGTAGAAATATTTTTATTTTTCAAATGATGTTCCGCTATTAAAAATTCGGAAACTTTTTTGATGCATTCATCTATTCTATTAACACTGAAAATTTTACCTAAAATGTATAAAATACAGTATGATATTATCATTTGAAAAAAAATTGTATGATAAGTTGAATTTTCCCAACATTTTCCAATTTGCCATTCATTATTTTTAAATTCAGCCGCATGACAAAGCATTTTAACAAATGCTGCCGTGAAAAGTTTTTTCTCTATTCAAATGTTCTTGGTTAATGCACAAGTGAAATTTATCTACTACAGGTCTCTCAAACATGTAGGTATATGAAATAATTGTCTTGAAAGTTGTTAAAGTATGTTATTTATTCATCCATTTAAGAAAATTTGGGAGTCTTTTTTTTATGTCCAAGTTTTGTAAAACGTACAGAGCTTGGAGTTAGAGCTTGGAGTTAATGTTCTTGCAACAAACCCTCTATACATTTGCTGTTTGCCTTTTTTCTCTTTTTTTCTCAAGACAATTGCCCGCAGAACTTACACATCATGAATAGATTTTTTACGATTTACCGACTGACTTTTTATGTCTTAATTTCAAAGCTAGTTTATTCAGCGGTGGAGAAACAGTGTCACTCCGATGGAATTGACGTATGATTTTCTAAAATGAAGTATACCTTCCAAGGGTGTTTTTGTTAATTTATACATAATTCCTTCGTATCCCATCTCGCCAGTTTACGTTTTGGATCTGGTTGTATTCGAAAAAACTTTTTCCCCCTAGGACTTAAATGTAAAACACGCATAACGTTTCGCTGGTTAACCTTTGAAATAGTTAGAACTGTCGATAAGTTTGAAGTTTTTGCATTAATTTCTTGAATATTTCTCCAACGCAGTAGTCATTTTGCATTTCTTTTACTATAAAACGTCGGCAGTGTAAAATAACTCTTGAAACATAATAATAAATAAAACACAATTCAAATTGCAATACCCATTTTTTTCCCTGATATTACATATTTTAACAATTTTCGTCTTCTGGATATTCTTTTACAGAAAATTGAACATTATCTTCCAGGAAAATAAAAAAAATTGCTATAAACTCATTTAAATGTTTTTAATTTTATATCATAAAGAAATGTCATTTTAAAAGAAAATATTCATTTAAATACATGATGTTTATTTACACAATGGTTATCATATACTAGCAACAGGGTATATGTTAATGGAATGATAGTTTCATGTCAACAACGTCTAGAAATGGCCTCCAAACCATTTAAAACAATGTACAAAAATATATATTGTAAAATCATACATATACATCATCAGTGAAAATTGGCACTCGACCCTTCATCTATCGATACATTGCAAAAACCAAGAACAGCACAAATAAATATATAAATTCGCAACATCACAATACTGATACAATTACATTTTTGAAATATGATTTTAACAATAAAGCAAGGCCTTATTTAGATGGCTTCATCTCAAAATATATACGCCCATAGAAAAAAAGGAATATTGCAATAAAATGCAATTGATAATAAAATTCACATTAATAATGATTGCATCTGTAAATTATTAAAAAATCGTTCATCCGACAAACAATTCAAAAGGTACACATACAAATACTACTAGATTAACCACTCACACATTTATTAAAGTTATTGCACTCAAACATATTGATCTGAGGAAGGAATCACATCAGGTACTTATAGGACAGCATGATTATCATCAATTGAAATACAGTTTAAAAAAATGATAATTAACTAATCAGTTAAACGAAGACATCATTCAGTGTCAAAAAACATCTTTATGCCGTTTAAATTGATTCAATAATGATTTTTCGCCATGAAATTTGAATTGCTACTTGTTATAATTCCCATGCCATCTTGTGCCTCAATCTCATATCACAGAGTTCAGTCATTGTTCATATTAGTTAAAGTTTGAAATTCTGTTAACTTCTGCTGGATTCAGTAGATTATCCTGAAATTGGGCATAGAATTTGAAATCCATCCATTTGTAGAAACAAAAAAAAAAATGAGAAGTGGATAATGTTATTTTTTATATTTGTAACTTTACTTACGAACACAACTACAGCATTTATTTTTTCTCCTCGATCCCTCTTTACACGATCTTCTACACGACCTTCTTTTACACTGTATTTTTCCATTCTGTTAAAAAAAATTAAAAATTTTGGAAACCAAGATTTAAACTAATTTGAGTCTACACCACATTGTGATGTTTCCAAATTGATATGACTTATTATGGTTCTAGCTGCTGTTCTAGAGAAAATGATTTTTAAAGTGTTTCCTAGCTATTCAAGACTTCGTTTTCCCAACTTTGGTCCAATTCCTGCCCCGGGGACAGTGATTTAAACAATTTTAATCTACACTTTATAGAGATGCTTCCTTATTAATTAGACTAATACTGGATCTGCTGCTTTTGAATTGATGGTTTTAAAAGAGTTTTTCCCTTTTGGTTTTCATGTCTTTGGCTCAGGTAAGATACAAACAATATTCGTTTCAAGAATTATATTATTTTATACATTTTCTTTTTGTTCACGATTTTAGGCATTTCCATTGCATATAGAAGTTCACTAGATGTTGGCAAAAACTGAGTCAAGAAACGAGTGATTTTCCAGCCAAATCTTTATACTTGTCTACTTAGCACTTCAAAATTAGCATGTCAAAAAGATACACAGATTGGAGGATTTGACATTAATCTAGTTATATGATGTCCACTTTAAGATGAAAAAAATCGTGTTTTGGTGACCAACAAACAATATTTCAACATCGAAGAAAGAGGACTTACTTTACATTTGCATGTAACGCATTTGACGGCTCCGTGGGAACTCAGAACAGGGTGCCACCGAGTTTTATTTTTGTATACCTGTTTTCCTATCCTACATTCTGAAAGACAAAACATTTCATCATATTAGACTTTTATGCTGAAAAAATCACTGTTGATATGACGTGTTTCTGTACAGGGTAAACTCAAGAACCTTTGTTTTGATTTTTTTTCTTTCTGACCGAAAATCATGTTCTAATTAAAAACATTATTACATTGAAATTGTTCACTTATGATTTTTTTATCTAAGAGAAAAAATTACTTTATTACTATTTGGAGCATACATTATAGAATTATTTATTAAACTAAAAAATATCTATATTTACCGCCGTTTGTACTTTCTTCAGATGGTGGCATTGTGCTTTTAATTATATCTGCTAATAAATTTCTGTCTGAAAAATCAAAATATCAAATAATGATACAAAATCTACTTACAACAGTTGTAAACGAAAGATTCTTTGCTATAACATGAATTCATTCATAAAACCACCGCCTCATTATTGATATAATGCTCACAAATCTATGGTTATCCTCTTTAAATAAAGAAATGTTTCCATTTTATCCCCCCTCAAAGGATTCTACTTTGACCTCCCTTCCATGCTAACAGAGGTGTCAAAATCTAATGCCCCTTAGCAGCACATGAAAGGTCCACGAAAATGAAGAAAAATCTGGTTAGTTAATTATTTACTGCAACTTTCAAATAAAAGATATTTGAATTCACGCCACGCTAGGCGCCGTATCATAATACCAGTATTTACAAAAAAGCAAAACAATAATATTCTGTCCAAGTAAACAACGTTATAGGCTTAGAGGGAGGAAAACAAGTTGCTGTGTCTATGTATTCAAAGGTTCATCATTTCGTTCATTTAACTCACAAAATCAGAAGTCAAAAGAAATTCTAGGTACACAAAAACATGTTAAATACTTACTGTTTACTTCATATTTTATCAATAAAAATACTTTTTAATGATTTCTTAAATCAAATGTAAACAACAATTTAAGTTTTTGATTCCTCATTATTACCTGAACACACCTGACAGCAGTCACTCCTTTTTACACGAACCCTATATCCTTTCGAACAATTAAGCACAGGACATGGTAAATGTGTACATCTGACCTGTAAACTGTTCTTCTGGAAATATAAATTTAGAATAAAACATTTAGTAACTTAGCAGACTTGCATTTGATCAATGATTTCTTTTTCTATGACACATTTGTAAGAAGGATAAGATTTAAATTTTCTTACGTCACAAGTACACGTGACACACGTTGAGTATCCATTGGGCGGAATGTATGGATGCCAAACGGTTCCTGCACGGTAGTGCCGCTTATCTCCCGGATAATAACACGTCCCATTGTCCTGAGTCAGCGTTTCTACAAAATATTTCAACAGTTTTTACTTTGCATTCTATCCGTTATTATCGTCTAAAAAAATGCAAAAATGGGAAATTTCAAAGTTCTATATCAGTCGCACTTTAAAAGAAATATGGACAGTTTAAAATTAATTAAAAATGTTTGTCTAAAATTTAATTACCTGGACACGTGGGACAGCATTCGCCGTCCATGCGTACTTGATTGTTACATGTTAGTTTTGGACATATCACTTGATGACAAAGAACGTTTCCATTCTACAATTTAAAGGCACATTTGATTTATTGACTTAGAGTAAGGATTGTGTTAGGAAAACACATCTATATTATTCATTTTGCTCAATAATAAAGTTCTCCTGGGCGTTTGAATTTAATTTCCTTTAGCAAAAGAGAGCTATCTTTAAAAAATATTTCATTAATATGCTGAAATGCGCACCTTACAACTACAAGTTCGACAGGTGCCATTTTTCGAGGGAATCCAGCTTTCATCACTGTGGTAAATTTTGCCTCCATCTTTACAATCATTCTTTCCTAATGTTGGTAGAGGTTTACTTCCAGGACCTTTTGTAGTTTTTGTTTCATCACGAAGTAAGTTCCAACATGAATTTGGTATGCTTAGCTACATGTGAAGTAAATTGAAATATGTATAATAATCAAAAGGGAAAAATTAGAAAGCACGTGCAGATCGAATTTTAAACAAATTTATCTTGTACATAAGTAAAACAAATGTATATTGAAAAGTGTGATTTGACTTTAGTAACAATTTGAGTGAATATTATACATTAAGATTTTTTAAATTCATGACATCATTTTAAGGAACAGAAGATTTATTCACATTTGCTACTATTTCTCCTTTTCTGATCCCAGTAACACCAATCTGAAGTAATGATGTCCCAGCATTCAAACTTTTGTAAACTTCCGGTGAAATGTCATCCATTACACCGCGCGCCTAAAATATCAGTCATGGAAATGTCAAGTAAAAATAATCAAGGCCACCAGCAATTTTAAGGAAAAGTATTCTGTTTCTGGCAATATAAAGTGCCATTTTTCTCAAGAAAATGAGTCACTGGAACAAAGAGGTACTCTTCCCAAAATAATAAATTAAAAGAAACTTAATTGCTTTTAACACAAGGATCGTTTACACAATTCTTTCAATTTTCTTTATTACAATGCTCCATATTTTACAGATAATGTATATTTCTTGTGTAGTAATGCTGTGCGTGATATCATTTTTCTACACCATTCATATATTTCAAGGACCAATTAAAGAGTTAAGTGCAAAAATGTCAAGAAAATTGATGTTGTAACAAGAATCTTGAGCAATTCAAGTTGCAATAACTAGGACTCATCTTTAAAGTATTAGAGAAGTGTGCTTATTTTAAAAAGAAATCTATTATGACTGTTTTGTAGAAAAAAAAAAGAAAGAAAGAAAAAAGAAAGAAAACAAACTTTATTTTTAGTCAATCACTTGCAAATGATTGCAGTTATTTTGGCTTTTTTTTAAGTGTTACAAGACACCTCAAGTACATTACTCAGGCTACACAAGCATCTCCTGTAGCATTGAATAAAATAAGCCTAAATTTATAGTCAAGAAAGTATACTTATTTAATGATGTTTAGCACATTACTGAAGCTGTTTATTTTTTATGCGCATGTGGTTACATCAAAACCAAAACGTGTTATTTATGACCTTACCATTCCATTGATAAAGTTGGATATAACAAGAGTGTATATCGTATTTTTGGTGAACTGCGTTGCCTTGGAATCGAATTCTCCTACCAGAAGAGCATTCAAGGATGAATAGTCTTGTAGACCAGATAAGATAATTTGATAATGAAGACGACATTTTTGGTCGGGAACTAACCAAGCCACTCCTCCTACTCCTGTTGGTGACGTTTGTAATGACGTCATCAAAAATGGCGTGTCTACAATTATAATAAGAAATTGCAAGAAAAGATCATTTTAATGGATATTCTGATTGACTAGTACATTTTGTTAAAAAAATTCCTCTAATATACCTTTAGTAAAGTCAATATCGTCACTATATTGAATGTTTTCTATTCGTCCCCTGAGAGCTAGATATGATTTCCGTTCCGTTTCTACGTTGAGGAATAACCTTCCAGCAAGTAGTAAAGCTATATATTTTGCTCGTACGTTTTTTATAATACCTGATGCCTACAAAGATTTAAAACTTTTTTAATGTACTATTTCAATATAACATTTATATATTGATGTATTTTGGGGAACTTAGTCATCTTCATTAAAAAGACGACAGAAAAAAAAACTATTCATTCACTCACTGTTCCATCACAAGAAGAAGAATTCCTTCTGAAATGTCCACTGAGGTTATAAATAACGGTCCTCCTTCCTGTTTTTGTTGGTAATGATTCTATGGTTAGGTAAGTAACACAACTAGTCATACCTTTCAAGTCTATCTGTAAGAGGGATAGGATTTAAAATTTTGGTAATTTCATTTCATGAAATTTAAACATATTTTTCTTCTGTAAGCATTTTAGTTTTGTCATGATCACTTACATTGTAACTTATTTGTCCATTGTCGTGTAGATTTAGAACTGCAAAGCCTGCACTTGACAATGCAATTTGTGGGTATATTAGTGCTTCACCACTTGAAAGTACACCTATATATGCTTTTAAAAAAAATATATTAAAAAAATAATTCGATATTTATAGAAAAATCAAACCTTTTAAGCACTAAATACAATATTTTCATTTCAATGTCATGAATATTTTGAATTCTCTGACTGTTTGAGTTTGATTCCAAGATCAATAAATAATTGAAATATGCAGGAAGTAAATTAACAAGTTTTTCAAATAAACACTGTGCAGGGAAAATGGTTCAATTTCTATTTTTTCTTGCACTATATAAGGTATACATGAATATACTCACCTCCACATGTACCCGAGGGTGTTATAGTACCAATAATGGTTGTCCCCCCTTTAGAAGTGACCCTCATTCGCAACCTCGCTTTCGCAATAAGTTTTCTGCTCTTTTTATTCAGGGCCAACCAAGTACCCCGGAGTTTGCTATTCTGTTCAAGTATAAAAAAAAAATCTTTATCTGTGTTTCCTTTTTAATCTTTTTTTTTTCAAAGTGGAATCCAATTTTTTAGTTTGAAAGATTTTCCCACCTTTCTTCTGCGTACTTTTTTGGTCAGGTTATGAAGAATCTGGGTTCTCTTTTCAATGGTAACAAAATATTCTTGCTTTCTTCCTGTATAGAATTTATATACATATAAAAGTTAAATAATGACAAGGATGTTGCCCCTGATGTTGGTATTTCTTAGAAATATTTATCAAAATGGCACTTTTTTATTTTTTTATAATGGTTTTAGATACCTACGTATTACATTATAAAGACCGTCAAACTTGACAGTGTATTCCACACTTTTGCTTCGAATTCCGTAAAATAACTCCGCGTAACCTCCGATACCATACTGATTTGGAGATACCAGTATTGTAGAAAATGTACCTTGAAAAGAAACAAAAATAATCATGATCGAACTAGAGTTTCCCTTTTCAGGGTAATTAATTTCATCCCAAACTTGCCTTTCATTTGATGGCTTGGTAGATTAAGTCTTCACAATTTACTTTAAGCTCATTATTGTTTTCTTTGATTCAGTATATTGTCAGTAGACCCATCATATAAACTGAGAAGTATCAATTTATATAACAAAGGCGATACCTGAAACATTCCCAGACATAGTATCGCGGAAATGTATAGATAGACACAACAAGATTTATTAGCTTAATTTAAGAGTTTATACTCGTCAAATTGACGGCTTTTCTCATCCAAAGGTGCGATTCAATAAACACTTTACACATGATTATATAACATAGGCAGCAGAGCTTGAGAAATGCGTGTGGTCTTTGCTGCATTAACGCTGTAAGACCTCAATGAAACAAAGTTCAGCGAATTGTGTTGAATTTTGCTGTTGAAAACTACTCACTTTGCTGTCTGGATTTGTCAACTTCCGGTTTACCGGCAACTTCACCATTTTTGAATGATGACGTCGTTATTACCAGTAAAAACATCCCTTTGTGTAGATACCGGAAGTAAAATTCAGGAACATTTTCCCATTCCCCGCATATCTATTTCAAAAAAATATGTTTCTGGTTTTAATATAATCTGCATAAATTACATAAAAGGACGCACTGAGATTTTTTTAATTGAATTAAGGAGTTTAGTTAAACCATTTTTGAATTTTTTTAATTCTAAAAATAAGGCGGAACTGTAGTTGAAAAATTATGTTCTAATGTTTATGTGTGATAAGATACAAATAGATACCCTATACCTGTTTGTCCGGATATCTTCTTTGGAGACGTTTTTCCATCAAAATGTTTCCGTTCTTATCTGTCAGCAAAAGTTTTTCTGGGTTTTTAAGTCTGTAAAATAAATACGATTCCGTGCTACAAATCAACAAACTAAGAGATGGAGAAATATAAAATTATCACTGTGACTCTTTATGCTTGTTCTGAACGAAATTGAGCTTGTTGAAGATACGGATAATTTATCTAGCCATTTTTGAGAGGTTTACTGCAAAACGGAAGTAATAAAATATGATTTAAAGTATGTTTCGTTCATTTAAAATGTCAGAGAGTTTAGTTTTATTAATATTTAATGCATGTTTATCACCAAAGATACGCAGAGATCAAAACAATGTACATTCCTTTTGATATTTCATAGTTATATATTAATTATTGTAAAACATTTTCAAATAAATATCCTGTCTTAATAACTTTATATATTTCGAAGGCAACCTTTTAAAAAGAAGTTCAGTGTTTGGTTTTACAAGGTAAAAATAAATCATATAGCCCTATGGGGAAAAAGGTGCTTAACTAAAATAATGCTGAAGAATTTATGCGTGTTTTTCGCAAGCCATTGTCTCTGAAGCGGAACGGTTGCAGTGAACCTTCCTTTTGACAGTTTTTCATTTATCTCTCCAATGGTAGCAGAGTCTTCCCATTTTAGCACAGTTAAGATAAGGTCAGACAAACCTCGGGTTTCGGTTTACTCTAAAACTGATATATATTGTTACCCAGCATCGTATCAAAACAACATCATTATTTGTGTTAAAAGAAGTTATTTGCTATGATCTCCATTTTTCATTCATATCCAATGTTTTCTTCATATGGTTGCGGTTTTTCCCTCATTTATCTCCTAGCATCCTCTCTTTGAGAGGATGATGAGAAAATAAAACAGTAATAAATGTTTGTCTAATCAGGTCTCACTGAATCAGATTACGGGGAATTAAGTGCTTGTATCGGCCCGGCGTTTGCCTTACTTCCACCTTCCAGCCGTGAAATGTTGCAGATGATTATATGTTTTCCACTGACTGACGCCAAAAATGTGATTTCTTGACTTTCCTTCACGCTACGTAAGAACATCTTATTACAGAGGAACGTCGAGTTGTGCGTATTGGTCTCTGTATACATGCTTAACGAAAGCACGGTCATTGTGTTATATTAATATTGGGCGGAATAAATTATCTACCGATAAAAGCAACCGGATGGACTACAATTCAGTATAAAATTTTAATAGTTTCAAATCACGATTTTTGTGACCAGATTTATTTTAAAGCTTATAATTATCACCGATTGTAATTGGTTTGAAATTAGAATGCCGGGATAAGAGGAAATTTTTATGGTTAAAAAAGGTACCCCAACGTGTGATTTCTAATTTCTTTGACATCACTTGATGCAAAATACAAGCATTTTATGATCCTTCAAAGTCTTTTAATTCTACCTGTGCGACACAGACTTAATGTTTTTTCTTTCTTTTTTTTAAGCTACAAAACATGATTTATAGAAGTCTTACCCTTCGTATTTAATGGAAAAGCGCAATCCTAAATTTGGAGTCACACGAAGGTGCACGACTGCGACTGCGCGAGTCAGCAGCGGTCGACTTGAAATGACATTGCGTCCTACCAGTAGTGCAACATACTCTGAAAATTTAAACAAAGAGTTAAAAAAAAAATGAACAAAGAGGAAAAACACAGATCCTATAATTGACTGATTTTTTTTTTATTAATGAGCTTTGATATTACGACTAAAAAGTTGGACCATTAGAGTATTTTAAACTTACTCTTGTTCATAACTTTTCGGCGTTTGTTGTGTTCCCAGTTTAGAGCCTTATCAATTTCTTTTGACATTTTACCTGGTAGAAGACTGAGCATATCTTCAAATGTTTTGTCTGTAAACAAGGAATGGAAAGCAATTAAAATAGTGTGAAAAGATGTGCACCACAAAATCACGTATCAATGTTCCTCTATACATTTGTCTATCATAAAATTGCATTTTACTAGCCAATTATTTTTATGAAAAAAATCACTACACATTGAAAGAAACAAATGGAAGTCTGAATGATAATTGGTGTACTTTTAGCTGATATAAATCTGGTATTCAGCCATATGTTTCCGTAAATATGTAACGAAAGAGTTCTTCAAACGATGTGGAAACCAATGTTAAGTAAGTTCCATGGAAAATGAGCAACTCTTTGAAATGCCCATTAGCAATTTGCAAATTTGCTCATTAGGACAAAAATAACAGCAGATTAGGAGATGATGGACAGCAAGGTGCGAATTCTGAGCAACAGCTTAGTGCGCTGCTGAATGTTTTCTCTAACCCGTGCCCGACACAACAGGCTACGACGGACGCCAAAGTGTGTACGAAAACAAGTACAGTTTCTGAAGGAATTTCAAAGTTTTACTTCGAAAATTACGTAAAAGCTTTGCTATCGACAGTTAATCTCGGAGGTCTACGACTACCATTTAGAATTTTATGATTCTCTTTTACAAACTATAAAGTTTCTATTCACCACCTACAACAATGAATGATTTCTAAATAGGTCAATTTTTCTAAATCATTGAGAGGACTTTTTTTTTGTTTATATGCCCAAGATAGCAAATAATCAAATTTTACCTATCAATTTTCAAACCATGGTGTTTCTCATGTCACAATTTGGGTCCAAAAAGTTTGTTTAAATATTTTCAGAAATGTCAGACAACGTGTTGCTTTTGATAAAAAATCAACATTCAATCACATAGATGTGAAATTCAATCATTTAGCACTTCAGTAATGCAAAAAATGTTAAAGACTTTAAACTCATATTAATCGAGGATTATAGCAGTGTATTTTTCACACTTTTAACTTGAACACCTAGAGCGATTGTATAAAGAGGTATGCTGAGTGTTGATAGGGCCACTTGAACTTGTGCAAGGAATCAGGGGGTATTAAATCGATACAAAATATTGGTCAGAGGAACAAACAGAGAGGCGATGAAGAGTAAATAGATTGTGCAATTCAAACAAGTATGGGGGTATAATATGAGATTCTCTCCAGATCAAGAAGTCGGGAACGAGCATTCGACCAGACATTATTTACTCTACTGAAAGCTTCCTAATCCGTGTGTCAAATACACTAAGTGTTTGCATGTATTTCTTTAAAAACAGTTACAAAAATTTTTATAAACACTTGAAATGCTTAACATATGAGTAACCCGTCAGTAGGCAATCATTGTTTCTGACAAATTTCGATAATTTATGGGTTTTATTCACTCTTTTGTTGTTGTTCTTTGAAATGTTCCATTAAAGACACATTGTATTGTTCAGCTGGTATCCGCGCACCTAATGCTGTCAAAGGGTAATTTGAATAACAAATTTTCGAACCCTATACTCCTATTTAACCAAAATACTACCCCTTCAAGCAGAAGTTTAACAAGAAAAATTCTTTCATTTTTTATGCGAGATAATTTTCATACATCACGATTTGGCGTACCATCTGAAATGAAAACTTAAAGAAAGAGAAAAAAAAACCAATTATCGTCTGATACCATTAATGACTGAAAGTTTATCTAATGACCCTTGTCATATTCAGTGGGTCTCCGGAAGCTTAAGACAGATAAATTTATATGTAATGATCTTGTTAGGACGGGCACTGGGTTAACATGGCTATTAACCTTAATCTGGAGACAGTTTTACAGTAAGTTTATACAAGGCCAACATAAGTATCTAAACCAAAGCAAGTAATTTACTCAATTGCCAAAGATTAAAGATTGATTGGAATTAATTGTAACACTTTTAATTGCATTCATTTACCAATTTCGATTAGGGACACTGCCCTCTGCAAAATTTAGATTTTTTGCGATTTAAATTTGTAGAATGGCCAATTTATCAAAAACATCTAAATCTGGTAGAGGACGACCCATCCGTGTCTTTCTGAGGAATATTGCTAACAACTGCGAACAGCAAGCAGCAATTTCGAAGATATATATTTATGCTTCTATTATGAGTTTGTAATCGGATATGTTCTTTTTTTCAATTTGAAATATGATTTAATGGTAATAACTGTCGAGGTAGTTGAGTACAAATTGTCGCATGAAGCTCTAACCACACACTCTACATTCCAGCAATATTCCGGAGACTTAGTGGGGGTTCATCTGAAGGACTAAACGGAGACCCAGACAGAGGGGTGGGGGTATCACTGCCACGTGTGAAAATTATATATCAGAGAAGGAATCTGAATTCGTTTTTTTTTTTTTTTAAGAATACGTTAAACATATTAGACATATGACTATGCAGTTCTTTATGTAAAATCAGCTAACTTTAAATAAAATTTACATATATAAGTTATACTTCTGATATGCTGTAAAACCATTTATTTCACACCGATAGAATATTCATTGACCTTAAAACGATTTAGGAAACTAAAAGTGAGTGTGACATTTCATCGAAGAGATGGATACCATTGTGCGTCAATCTAATATGAAAATTATACAGAAAAAAATGAACGTTTTCCGAACGGCTTTTTCTGTCAAACCATAAATACACATTTTGCAAAAGGTCTCAATGATATTTATCTCCTTAAATGCGTTGACAGGAATAGAGGTGTATGTTGCTTTATTAATAGATCTCTTTCTGGTAGAAATAATTAGAGAGTGATTTTGTGATAAATATCTCAAAGAAAATAACAGAAATTTATAATGCTTATTGCTGACCTGATTAATTACATTTTTGTCATTACATTACCTTCGTTTGGACAAGATTTGCAGCATTTTCCATCCAATAACACCGGATTGTCGCACTGGGGCACCGGACATAGGTTCTTAATATTTTTGCACTTAACATTTCCAATATGCTGCACAATGCCCTTCTTAATGTTCTGCAAAACAAAAATAATTATATAATTTTTAAAGATGTCCCAGATAAGTTTATTTTTGGGAAAGGTCAATCCAGTACTATTTGGTAGGTTGGTCTAATCAAAGAGAGACAGAAGGGGGGGGGGATCACAAGATAAATATATTCAAATACTAAATGTCAAAATTCCAACAACCTAATATTCTTATAATTAATTATGTATTTATTAGAACTTTTTCCTTATGGAAATGATGATATGACTGTCATTAATATATCATTTTTGTTGGAATTTTAAGAACTGCTGCTGCGATAAAGCATAAACTAATCAATCTGTTTCTTGGTAAGATATTTCAAAATAATTTTCAATTTATTTGCCAATAAATCTATAAATATAAATACAAATCATTCTGTAGCAGTCCAGTAAGAATTTAGATAAAGAAAATAATGATTTATTCGATCTAAAAAGCTTATTCATAGCATTGAAATGGCCCCTGTTCGTTCGACCGCCATAAATCACATTAAGGGTGTGAAGTAATTTTGTTTCCTTAATCTCCCCGATCAAGCAATCGGCATACATGGGCTCTTCAAGTAATCCACAAGTAGCCCTGTACATTGAGATCTTCTCAATTGCTTTTGAACTTTTAGTCTTGCAGAAAGAGACTTGTTTAATCCTAGAGATATAAATTATTCAAGAAACGGATGGCAACTTTTAATAAATGTTTCACACCGTCTTTCAAAAGAGACGAGGGGTTTTGTTGTGAAATTTGGTTTACTTTTCCCAATTAAAAGGCAACATGATTTAGTCTGTTTCGATATCGTAAACCAACAAAATAAGGTATGTGATGTGTCACAAGAGGAATGTCTCTTCGTCAATGTAAGATTAAGATAACAAGTAAACATATAAAGCAAGTCCCAGCTTCAACATAAATAACTGGAAGACAAGAGAAATACATAATTGTTGGTGGGAGATGAACTTCTAGTTAGATACCAAAATATAAACTTTATATATTTTCTTTAGGGGGATAAAGTCACTATAATAATTTGAATGAAAAATAAATGTAGGATTATCGGACGTGTTCTTAGATATTACCTCATCAGCAATATTAGTCTTTCAAGCGTAATGCTGTTTGTAAGAAAATCAAGGCTAGATCTTATAAAACTATCATTGAAATATCACTGTCGAGCAGAAACGATACGAAATATGTCTATCAAAACCCGAAAACAAACAAACTAACAATTTTAAGTTATGAATGTTTTACAAAAAAATATCTTCTACGGATAGGAAAGGAAACGGGCCCAACAAGGTGCTTAGCATGTATCATTCTTTACCGAAAATCGTACGCACTAACTGATTTGTTAAAATCCTGTATTTCCGTGTTAAAATGTTCCTGTAGAATAATATAAACACTTTGTCAAATTGAAAGTCAAGTCATAAAAGCAACAACGGGAATATATTTCGACCTTAACCGTTTCTCTTAGCCTTCAGTAGCTCTGAGTGATGAGTCATGTTTTAACGACATGTAATTTATTGTAAAGAATTCTTTTAAAAAGAAGCAAGCATCATCCTCAATCCTTTCTGTTGTTCAGTAATTACCTATGATAGTTCCTAACATTGAGATCTATGACTATTAGCCCATAGCCTGATATTATTTTGCATCGTCAGAAAGAGCAAGTAAGATATTCAATACAAAAGAAAAAACTAGCATCGATTTACAACAGTAAAAGAAAAAAATCCTAAATTCAAAATTGAAAGACTCACTCCCTTCATAATTTATAACTTAAGAATATCTTTGAACAATTGGTCCCACAGCAATTGCAAACCTACGTGTCAATAATACCCTATATATATATATATATATATATATATATATATATTTTTAACCAGAAGTATAGATTTCATGTACATTTCATTAACATGTGTGTTACATGTAATAATTTCATGAATTACTCAAAAATTTCATATCTTGCAAGAGTGTAAATTTCACCGGATGTGTGAGTCGTTTAACGGGTGAAAGAGTGAAAACGACATCCTGTCAATACCCGACCAGCAATTACAGAGAAACAGTTACCGTTTTCCCCAGACTTCTGAAGTTGCACATTCATTCATTCAAAACACTAGAGTAATGGCGGTGATTATCTAAAAATGGTATAGCGGAAAATTAACCCTTGTAGGAGGAATGCAGGATCTAACCATTTGAGGGCTTAATTCTCTTATGCAATTAAGTCTTTACTTTAGGAACGAAAAATTGACAGTTATCTAACGTAAAGAACGCCATGCAAGACTTTAATGAAAGATGTGGATCCATTGGGATAACGTTTTATTGCCTACTCAGAGTAATAAGTTATGGGTGTTCTTCCTGTTAGATGTTTCCTTTTGGATCTTAAACCTTGTCATTCAAGTTTCCGTCGGCTAAAATGTTTCTGTCAATGTATTACATGGATGATCTCATTCAGTAATATATTTTTGGGATAATTAAAAGTCCGTTAATAGATGATAAAACAGAAGTAAAAATAACAATGTCATAAAATGAACTTCTATATTGAATTTGCAGTACAAGGTTTGTGGAGAACTTACATGGAAAACACATTGTCTAGTAGCTTTCTGTGATCCCCTTTTCCTGTTATGATCTCAAATTTTTGTGTTGCAAAACAGTAAATTGTTTTATTTTTATTTCTCCCGATAATTCTTCGTCCCGCGCATAGTAAAATTACGATAATACAGCAATAATTAGTTACGTTATTGTTATTTTTGTTTTGTTTTTAAGTTTCGGCTTCTTGGCCGATTTCTGGACACACAACTAGAACTTCGATTTAGATCCGATACTTTAAGGCGTTCGTTTAATCCTCAGCATCTACCCCACGCAAATGATAAACAAAAATAGTAGTACTAAAGTATGGCATTGAATTACCCACATTAAATTAAGTGGATACAAAAAAAATGTCAGAGGGAATAAACGTCATGTCCACCTTGACAGAGGTATAACTCAATTTGCAAAGCGCTCTAAATGCTTGAGCTAGTTGATAGCTGGATAACGAAACGTTCATTAAAGTGTTTAATTTATACAGAGTTAAGACTACAGAAATAATAACACAGTCTAGTTTTATGTGTTCCTTTATTACTTCACAAATGATGCAGAAAAGTCCATTCTGAATTCAAATGGTATCTAGAAAATTTTAATTTTTAACTTCTTCTAAGTTGTAATGGATACAAAATAAATTTGTTGTCCTTAGGAAGAATAGTAATACTATTTAGGCAATAGTTCAGTTTCTTGTATTGCCTCTGCATTATCTAGGTAGAGAATAATGTTAATATCAAGCTGTGCCCAAATTTTAACAAAACCTCAAAACACATTGACCTAGTGTACGATTTCTTTTCTCCGGAAAGTATAAAGTACAAAATTAGCAGGAAACAGAGAACAATTGTAATTGATATGATATCGTGCTTTGACCTTGAAAACAATTCTTCCGCTAGTTAGACGATTAAAAGACTTTGCCGATTCTGTTTTCTAAACAGATGATTGTATTAATAGCTTGGAAAACAGCAGAATCTTTTGTTATATTTTAATTAGTATATCATTTTTTTAAAATATATTTTACAGTCCATGATCGTATATTTTCATCATTCTAAAATTTTTACGAGACGAAAAGTGAAAAATGCAGACATTCAGTTTTTCGACAATGAACTGTTGATATCAAATGAATATTGGCATAAATTCTATCTAGGTCAAGGGGATTATCAACATAACTATATATCTTACATTCAAATTTTAAGGAGTGTATAGTTCGAAATCCATTACAGATAATTATGATAACCTTCCTCAATAAACGACTCCGAAACTTGTCGTTTCCACCTCCGCCAAGTATGAGAGTTCTGCAAGGCAATTTGCACAAATTCCTCCCTGGCAATATAATCTCCTTTATCTTTCTACGTAACACTTTTTTCTTGTTAGTAATTGACATATTACATTGAAACATAAAAGGAACATAACTGTCTGTCATTGAAGAGCTTCTGCAAATACCGAGAAATTCCGGTATTTTCTGGGATCTTGCATGTTCAAAGTATAGCAGCGACACTTGTAAGGTTTGGTTATTGGGAACACTGCAATATTTATTGCATTATCATACTCTTATCTGTCTTCAGTGCTTTTAATGCAAAATATTTTTAGGATGAAGTACTTGAATTTCATGAGGGTTGAGGGATGCATACAGAAAACAGAATTTTGCTCTCAATTATTTGTCCCTCTCAGTCTCAGTTCCCAGATCAATTAAATACAGCCTAACTCTGATAAGCGTTTGACTGGGAAACGATAAAAAGTTCTTGTGTTTGCTTTATATTCCTAAGAACGTAATTGATATAGTAATATATGTGTTTGAGCTATGCATTCTTTTGAAGTATGAGCATATACGTGACTATTTTCTGAGACCAAAAACTATGTAACTTTGTCTTCGAAAGACTTGTGGCTCTTTTTTTCCTATGCATATAGTGAACATCAAATTTAGAAACAAGTACATGTATATAATTAAATATGCTCATTAGTAAAATTAAGATAAACAGGAGGGATGTTTTGCTTATGTGAAGCTGATAACTACAAGAGAAGGTCAGCAACGAAATGGTTCGGTTCTTGAAAGTGAAAGTCACGTTTTGCATATCAGTAAAAATGAAAATGGCCGAAAAATTTTCAAAAATCAAATGGTCCCTGGAAGTGAAAATAAAATTTATTGATTTCGTATAGGGAAAGTAGCCGAGAGAAATTTTCAAAAGTTTCTTGAAAAGGAATTTGCAATAGTTTACTCACTGGTACACACTGACAGATGAGGCAAACGAATGGTCCATCTGGATTTAAGGTTGGGTTAAACTTTTCTCCAAGTTTATAAAAAGAATTTCCGAGATGACAGCCTGAAAAATGAAAGAAATAATTTGAAGACGATTTTTTTTAAATACAAGATTAAGTATTAAGTTGCTCTTTCCACAAAGGTTATGGATAACTAAACAAGATGAACGAAAACTATAAGTTTATATATTTTTTAAAAAAGATATTACCCAATTTTTGTCATTTTTAAGAGTATAAAATTTTAATTAGGGGGCGCACTTTACCTCTCTTCCCAAAATTAAGTGTTGACATTAATGTAAAAATGAAATACGATTCTGTTCTGCAAATTTACCGAATTTTAAAATGTGCTTCATGGTTTTTATTGATAAAAATTATTTGTGCATCAAATTAACATTTAGAACAGAGTTATGGTCTTCCAACCTTTTCCTGTAATTAGCAGAATTGTTACCTGAAAATGAGGTCATTGAGATTAGTAGGTTTATTTTTAGCCAGACACTTTGGATTATTTTGAAAAACAACAGATAAAGACATTTTATGATTCATTACTACATTTTAAAAAATTGGCATCCAAGTTGCATTCTTATAGGCTCAGTAAACTTTGCATTTTGTATTTAGAGTGAAATTACTTAGCCTGAATGTAAAGTTAGATTCCTTGGAATCGTGCAGAGATGTCTTCTGAAATCGGGAAGTCTTTACGGCTAATATTTCTTTTCATGCAAATATACATTGTCAAATAAAATGAATGAATATATTGATTTCGTGCTTTCTCGCCTCCCTCATCCTGTTTAGTTTTCAATTAATGTAAATCATATATCATAATCTGTATTTAAAAAAAACAAATTAACAAAATAAGAATAAAAAAAACTTTTATAATACAATTTTATATTCATTATATATTCATTTTCTAATGTTATAAAGATATTTTACGGTGATAATATAATCTTTTTTTTCAATTTTCAACAGATTAGTCATTACTGAATCCATCCACTCATGTTTCATCAAAACAAATTGAACTAGTCACTTCCTTCAGCTAAAAAACTAAGCTAAAAATATAATTAAATTTTTTGACTTAAATTTTTGGAAAAGATTTTTAGAAATACAAAAGCATGATTAATACTACCATGCTGGTAAACTTCATATTAGTCATGTTTATAATTGACACAGTTGTTAAGCAGTTATTTTGCTAATGAGTGATAACACATGTACTACTGTGTTAATGATCACTAGCTGTCAAAAACAGGAAGTACACAGTATAAACATATTGCATGAAGATCATTTTTAACCAAATGAAGAGAATAACTCACCGTGTCCAATACTTGAAATATACCTTTGTTTCTGTTTTTTTTCTTTATTTTATTTCTTGCTCTTTGAGTATTTTTTTTTTTACCAAAGACAATTATTTATCATTCTTTCATTCATTTGCATGATGATTAAACTTTTCTCCTTTCCCGAAATTTCAATTTTACGAAGGTGCACTAGCTTTGCATTCAAAATGAGTTTACCTAAAAAAAAAATACAACTGACACACCCAATAGACTTCTTGTAATATATCAGGTGTTATATTACTATATTTTTGTCTTAGAGTCCTTGTCAATCTAACTCTTTTCTTTTTTTTTTTATAATTTGCGGTCTGTGTATCACCTCAGGATTCCTTTATTTTTTTTAAAAAACCTGTAAGCACTAATTACAACGTGATGATTGTGTTACTCAACTTTCCTAAGCTTGTAAACAGTGTGGAAATGACCACCCCTTTGATCAATTAAGCGATGAGTTGTAAAGTCGAGCTATAATTACGTTCATTCAATAAAACGTCACAACGCTCACTCCTATAGGGCTCAATGATGCGCTCTTAGCCAATTGTTTTCAGTCAAAAAACAGCTGGAACTTGTATTTTTCACTCAGATTAATCATTCTAATTAGCGTATTTTTAGAAAAGCTCAAAATTGCCAAAGTTGAAACTTCATCAAATTTAAAGAAAGTGTGTAAAGACGTTAAACATTCTGACTTAAGTTTGAAAAAAAAAACAACTAAAATGCAAGAATTAATTTTAAAAGCTTATATGTAACAATTTTAAAAAAATATCTTACCTGGAAAACTTTGATAAATTTTTCCATAATCAACCTCCTCGGGAATTAACACGTTGAACCTCTCCTTCGGGCTACCTGCATGCTTTTGAAGCAAGAACCTGTCTCTTATACTTCCATCAATGTTTACTAACATCTGCAGAAACACGTAGATTGTCAATAAAGAAATCATTTCATTCGCAAAATTAAGATTAAATCCTTGGTTCAAGCTGAACACCTGCAACTCGTCTTAAAATCTTTCGAATCAAGAGGCCGCAACGCAAATCTTAATAAAACTAGTCAAATATGGTACGGTACCCTTCCGCACGCAAGAACACAAATCTATACACCAGTAAACTACCAATAAATATTTTTTGAAGTTAACTAACTTTTGACACTCTCTAATATCTACAATAAATTATTTCTTAAGTGAAATAGATATATATCTAAGAACAAATATTCCTTGTATCGAATCCAAGCCGCGTATATAAAAAGATTTAAGTCCAACAGCAAATATTTCAACGCTGATATATTTACTAAACTAGACGTGTGAAAACTGTATATACAAGACTTTACACCCAGTCGGTTGTGGGATTGTTTTCAAAATCGCAAATACGTTGAGAAGTTGTTATCTTTCTTCAATGTAAGAGGAATTTCGCTTTATAACTACAGTTTCTTCCCCAGAAGTCAGAGAAAAGCGACTCAAGAACACTAGCTATTGGTTGTAACAGTTAAAAACTAACAAAGAGCGGCATGACACCCGCTGTTTTATACCCAATCATATTCAATCTTCCCGCAAACGAAAAATATCTATGTTGTTCTATGACCAAAAATATAACATTTTTATCGATTGGAGGATAAAAATACCCCTAATAATTACCCCGGATAATCTCCATCTTTTATTTATTGACTTGTTATTATCTATCGATACAATAAAAAATATTACCGGGAAGGAAAAATGATTGAGACGAGATGTTAAATTTATACCGTAATTTATAAAATTTTAAATTTAATGAATAGTTTTTTTAAAAAGTCTCTCTTCGACATAAGACTGATATTTTTTTTCAATTTATCCTCCTGTGATCAAATAATTTAAAATTTAATCAGTTATATTTGTTACTACAGAAAGATGAAAGCGTCATTCTCTGCATCTCTCTCTCTCTCTCTCTCTCTCTCTCTCTCTCTCTCTCTCTCTGACTTTTTACATTTTCATCTAATCTAAAAATACTAAAATATCTAATTCTATTAGAGAAACGGATCACACTTTGATGGTAGAAAAAAGGAAATTGTATTTGAGTATCGATTACCGTTTATGTAAATACTACAGAAATGACAAAACTTCAGACGCTGCACAAACTAATTGGTGCCTCCAATTAGGATTTGATGAGGAGAAGAGTAACAAACTGCATTTCCATATGTTTTATCACGGGAAATTCGTTCATTTTTTTTTCATTAAAAATGATATTAAACAAATGCGCATATCATTCAAATATCTAATTCATAAAAAAAACTTGTTCAAAACACTGAAAATTGTTTTACTTCCTTTTTACATGTCACACAAAGAGAGTTCATTTGTGGCAATCCATTTAAGTGTGCTGAATATTCGAGAATTGGTCATTAAATCTTTTACCTGTATGGGCATAATTTTTTCTGATTGCAACCTTCAAAGCATCTGTACTAAGATGACAAAGTGCTTCGGGAACAATCTGTTTTTCAATCATGTGTCCATTTCGTTTCAGAAATAACTGTTTGACTTTCTTCCACTAAATATTTTATAAATAGAAAACTAATATTGTAGATCCCCCCCAAAAAAAATTTAGCCTACTAGAAAAACAACATTGTTTTAATTTCTTTGAGCATGAAAATTTGCAGGAACCGTTTCTACGAGTAAGACTGCTTTTTCCAACGGCACATATAGTATGTGTCATGTACGAATTTAAAAGTGATCAAGGAAATGGTTACATAAGAATAACTTTATAATGTTTGACTAAGATACTGGTAAATAATAATATTTTATGTCTCTTTTAATGGCTAGATAACACGTACCCACCTAGCAAAATGACCTGACTCATGACCAATTTATGTAACAATTCCTTTTGTTATTGAAGCTTTTCACAATTTCAAGTGCCGCTACTATGAGTGATATGTTGGTTTTGTATTTTTGGTTCTTTTTTCCAAACAAAGTTAACAAGGATACGGCATGATCCAGAAATATAACGACATAATTGAGGAATAAGATAATTCAATTGGAAAATATGATGTGTTACCATTTTTAGACAATGCTATTTCGAATTGATTTCATTGCTGTTTAATGCACAAATTTAGAATAAGGACCTTTACAAGTGATTTAAAATGTTAATATGAGCGTAGTGGCATGGGAGGCAGGTTAAATGTTGTCTCGGTTTGTAACCCATTAGATTTTAGTAGATCTTGAGCACAACGAACAATACTGGGATTTTTCTTCTGCAGAAATCGGTGATTAGCATCACGAAATACAAGCACGGCATTTCATGTGAAATATAAATAACTCCTCAAAGGGATAAGTGTATAGAATTTTTAAGCAAAACAATTGCATTGATAAGTCATTCTCCCATTTAGGAAAAAAACTTACGAAATTTCGCGCGGCAAATCTTCGCCTACCTGTAGAAACTGGAAGATGGCATGGTATAGTATACAATAAGGAAATGATCAGAATAAGTTTAAATTTTGACAACTACTCACAAAGTATCTTTTTTCCCCATTTTTTTACATAGCTTATTTATACAGATATTAATTTGTGCGTGGCAAAATCATCGCAAGCTTTAAATATATCACGGAATGCCCTTTTTGTGTAGAAATACTACGTTTGAAATACATCAGATGGACATACATGTACCAATAGACTATTTGAATCAAAATTCACTTCACTCCAAGAAAGCAGTGCAAACTGTGTGCCCATTGCAGATCCCAAAAATAAGTAAATCTAAGATTACAAAAATAGAAATCACACACGAATATTTTTCTCTTTCGAAAGATATTCATCCCGGAATGCAACAATTAATACTTTCTGTGAGTAACCTTGCAACAGAGTACGATAAACCTTAATAACGCCTCAATATTCACTGCTTTGTGCCTCATGACAACAAAAGTGTTTCAACAATCAATTCAAAAGCATTCAGTGGAAAAAGGATCATTTCAATCTGGTCATGCCTAAAATTCGTTTAAAAAAAAAGCGATGTCAGCCGCCGGATTTTACCGTGCCGGAACCCGGGATTGAACCGGGGGCCTTTAGATCTTCAGTCTAACGCTCTCCCAACTGAGCTATTCCGGCTGACATTATATATCAAAATGGCGTCAAAACAGATATCTGATTGTTTATTGTTGACCAAGCTTCACGAAGTACACAAGTTATATGTTTAGTTCTTGTGCAGATACTGCGTTTGAAATGAATTAGATGGAAAAGTCTAAATACTCTCAGTCTGAATTAAAATCATTATATTGCAAGATAAGCAGAGCAAAATCTGCCCATTGCAGAAATTTGAAAAATAGGTAAATATTTATGATAATTTATATATATATATATATATATATATATATATATATATATATATATATATATATATATATATATATATATATATATATATATATATATATATATAATATTTAGGCATTAATTGTTGTTAAGGAGAACCCAGACGTACTGTGCTACTGCATATTCTAAAAGTAATGTAAATCAAATATTGATTTTTAAAAAAAACTGGAAGGAACTTATGGAAAATTTAAAGTCACAATTTTTTTTAAAAGTTAGTTACATCAAAATGTATGACTTTTCTACACTTTATAAAACCATTCCTCACGATAAATTAAAAATTAAGCTTTTTGATATCATAGACTTGTAACTGCTTCTTCAATAAAATGGAACTCGGAAATTTTTATATCTTGTGATTGGTCATCATCAAAATTAATTTGTTAAAAATCACTCTGATTCTCACACAATTACTCTGAAGTTGATATTAAAAGTATGATGGAGTTCCTCATTGACAACATTTATATAGTCTTTGGAGACCAGGTCTTCCAACAAACTGTTGGAGTTTTGATGGACACTAATTGTGCTCCTTTCTTAGGCTAGCCGACCTGTTTTTATATTCCTATGAAGTAGAATTTATTCAAAGCATGAACATAGAAGAAAACTTGCTGTGGCCTTCACCATGACAATCAGATACGTCATTTAACAATAGTTACATCTATTGATATGTCGACTCGATATATTCCAGTGAACTTGAAATAAAAGACACCACGGAGTCTGCCACATCTGTTTCATATTTGGATGTTTTACTAAGTATTGACGTTAAGGGCCAACAAACAACTAAACTGTATGACAAACAAGTTGACTTAAGCTTTTCCATCGTCAACTTTCCCTATTTATGTAGTAATGTTACTCCATCACCTGCATATGGTGTTTGTTCGAAACTTACGGGCATGCTCTGAGTACGATCAATTTTTAAACTCAAGAGCATACTCTGAGGACGATCAATTTTTAAATCGAGGCAGGCTACTGACAGATAAGTTGATGTTACAAGGATTTCGACAAACTCGTTTAAAGTCAGCATTTCTATGGATTCTATGGCCGTTTTTGTGACATTGTTAGCCAATACAACCTATCATTGGGTCGTACATATGTATTTTGACTGACATATTTCATCCCAACTGTTAGGCCTTTGCTTTTATACTAAATTAGACTACGGATTATTTTGTCTACCTGATCAATACATAGGGCGGGTGTGACCGGTAGACAGGGATACTTACTCCTCCTATGTACCAGATTCCACCTCTGGAATATCCGGGGTCCGTGTTTTATGCCCTGTTCATAGAATTGTATTGAATGTAGGTGGGTTTTTTTTTTTAGATCGATAACTGTTCGTTATCTTCACCTTTTTCATTATTATACGATGTGCTGTAATTAACTTTCTTTGAGTAGCCTTGCAACTGAATACGAAAACTCGTCGGAGCGAACATGTACACTTGATTTTCCCTGCGAATAAGTGAGGAATCATTGTGGGAAAATACAACAATTTTGGAATGTATCAAAGTAATGGTAAATATCTATATAGGTTATTATAACAGTTATTTGATCCGAAGAGCCAGATCACATCTAGCTGGCAGGCGCATACCATCAGATCAAACGAGACTCGAAGAGTCGAGTTTGATTTGATGATCCGCGCCTGTCAACGACACGTGATCCAGTTCTTCGGATCAAGTCACTGTTATTATGATAAATTTATTACATACACTCTTTTATTAGCTAAAGATAATAACATTTTTTATCCATTATACAATGAATATCTATAAAACAAAATACATTTTTAAAACGCAAGAAAAAGTCGTATATACATAATTTATCCACATTTTTACTCCCTTATTCAGTGGGTATAGCTCGTAGGATATCGTTTTCAAATCCACGGTTGTGACGTCATGTGTAATGGTTTTTGCGTGAATTTGACCAAGTCAAATTATATAGAAAACAATGTAAGACATGAAATAGTTAGTATGTGTTTTTCACATGTGATAACATGT